GTATTATTTTAAATTCTTAAGAGGTAATTAACACATTAGTACACTCCTTATTATTGCATGTATTTGGGATATAATTTTTCTCCTTGACAAAAAAATATTACACCGCAGCACAAAGATTTTAGACGTAGGTGAAAATCATTTGGACACCTATCAGATATCAGCAGAGACAGTAAAAAGAATGGGACAATTCTCAACCAATCTTCTTTTATTGCTTATATAAGAAGACTACCGCAGTCACTTCCGTATGTTAAAATTTTATATAAGAAGAATATTGTTATTTTAACTCAAACCTTATTATTGATCATGTCTTGTGGTTATTTGATTTTAGTCTATTGTTTGATTAACATATCAAGGCTGACGCTGTATAGGTACATGCCAAGTGATAATGAAAATTCAAGTTTGAAACAGCGATGACGCAAGACCATTAAAATACTTACTTGAGTTTTCGGCATCGTTCCATTTGCATAGCCTTCTCGGCCTTCATTACGCAGCCATTCTGCAAACTTTGAAATTGGAAAAGACAACACAGCCTGTATTGTTTCAATGGTTTCAATATCGGTTTGGTCAGTCTTGCATTTGATAATTAGCACCTCTCGGCTCACATCGCCTGAGATACTCGCGCGCTTCGACAATTGTACCCTGATACTATTCGATGTATTCCCTAGGTACACAGGTAGATCTATAATACACATAATGCAATACATTTATTGACACTAATGTCATAAATGTCCAATCAATGGACTGGGGATTCTTTTGTCGTAGCCGTCAGAACGCAGTCGTTGTTATCTTCGATATTTTATAGGGATCAGTAAAACGTCGGCACTGCACGTGATAGATGACATTCCACGTGCAGTGATCGAGTTAACTCTTTTCAAGGATGTAAGGGAGGATCAGTCGGCAATAGATAAAGAACGTTATTGCCTATGCGTAATTAAAAGACGATAACAATTTATGTTGCCTGGTACGCTTTGAATATTTTGTAGCGAGCCTCATCAGATACAGAGTTAGATTCGAAACCGGGGCCAACACTCGCACATCATATTTAACCTCGCCATTAAAAAGAAAATGTTCGCAATTCGCCTATACGACTTAAGTTTAATATTTATACCTCATGGAGTCGTAAAACGATGAATAATGACGCTGCGGACGAGTGGGCTAGCGCTGTAATTACTTCGCTTTTATACATACATGCTGGATGCTTTCTTGTTGTTTAAACTTAAATGTTGTACGAATACGATAGGAACCTTCGTAGTTATTCTGTAAGATGAACATAAAACAAATTACGAGTACATACTCTATGGTGAATACAATAATAAATAACAGTATTCAATAAAGTGTCGGCATTCAGACTGTCTTCGTAGCCATGAACACGTCATTTCAAATAATTTCAATATTCGTCCAGTTCTTCCTTTCATGTTTATTTTTATATTGTTGAAGTTTTTATTTGATAAAATTACTTCGGTAATATTTTAATACTCTTAATACCTATTGTGAATACATAATCTGGTCTCTAGTCGGTGGGCTAGTGGCTTAGCACAACGCTTTACTTTCGATAGTAACGGGTTAGATTCCATGGGACAAACATTTGTATTCATGAGTATGAAGTAGTTTAATGTTCAGTGTTTAATTTCTTTTTAATTATTAATACTAGTCGGTATGTTAGTAGGCGCAGTGTGAATGTCTTAAGTTATTATTATTACTATGCTACACAGTCGTATTAGATAGCATATAATATATAAATTTTATTAAATGCATTATTAATATTATTATAATAATTTCTTAAATATTAGTTTTATAATTTCATCAATTTCAATATTTACTTTGTACAGTAACAATTCGTAATAAGCAAAATAAATTTTAATACAAATTATAATACGCCGATAAATTTTATATATATTTGTTATAAAAATATATAGGTACTAAACCTTTATAAGAAAAGATTAATCTAGCTAAGAAATTAACGAACGCATTAATTTAATTAAATATTACGCTCATGTTAAAGAAACAGGGTTGACCACGTGCACGTGTTGCCCCTAGCGTTATAAGGACGTTTATAGGCTACGATAACTATTTACTATGAAATGGACCACTTCCTCGTTTGCCATCATCGTGGTATAAGGAAAAATAGTATTTCTTCACATAAAAGGAATTATAAATTATTTTTTAAGTTGGTTTTTAACAAGTGTTTTAGATGCATATACAATTGTTATCATGTATATATATATATATATATATATATTGACTATAAAAAGAAATATGGTATGTGAAACAAAAAAACTACCCATCAGGTAATAAGGAGAAACCCTCACCTATAGAGATACTCACCACAAGTACACACGGACATTATATAATCACGCCTGTAGAGCCCTATATACATTTCCATTCCGATGAAAAAATTATGATATGCATCCGTACTTTGCAATTCATTGCTGTGGTTAAAATGGGTATCAAATTAATGTAATGGTATACATTAATTTCATACCCATTTTAGCCACTAAACAGCTGTGGTGAGATCATCACTGGCAATGTGAGAATGAGGTATCCACGCAAAAGACTTTGTGTAAAATCTACGTATGGTAAACCTGTAAATGTAATAATAATAACAAATACTCGTTACATCCATTACATCCATACCACATCAGCAGAGTCGTTCTGACTAACTATCAGTTCGTAACTACGGGACCACGAGGCTCTCAACCGATTTTAGATTATCACTGAAATATTTTAAAGCATTATGTACAAAATTGCAATGGTTTTTATCTATAGAAAAATGTGCCTAAGTTATGTTCAGTAGATACATTTACTGATAAGATCATTGTGTGGCAAAAGAATATTTATTATAAATAAATGAATATGTATCTGGTTTTATTGAATGAACGAATGCTGTTCTATTGAATTTTATATCCTACAATAAAATCAATTTTTTTATCATAATAGAATTCGAACTCAATCAAATAATAAAAATGTCTCCTTTCGTTTTTAGGTATAAGACTAAACATTTTTATAGGAGGTATTTCGTCAATATTTAATAGATTTCTTCGAAAATAATAAAAAATATAAATTATTTATGTTTGGTGTTATTATTTAGTAGAAATATTGGCATGTTTACTGTTATTAAATTTACAATCTAATAAAAGGCAATTGTTTGAAGTATATGTATAGATTTTGTATCTTTTGTTATTATTCTAAAATTAAATGAGCTCGAAACATATCCAGACATTTCAATCCCTTTTAGATTAAATTTTTAGAAATGTTTTGAAATATATTATTAGACATGTTTAATTTAATTTAATAGAAATTTCATATTGTTCTGCGTCGGTTTGTTAGCATACTCTCTAACTTATAAAACAAGTGCTTTTAAATTAAAGTACAGACGATGTATGATATATGCATGTATTGTCTCAACTCTTATACAATTTGTCTGTTTTACTTATTATACTAACATATTTGTTGTACTAACTTCATTTACAATATAATTACATTTGGCCCGAATAGAAAAGCGAATTCTTCTCGTGTTCTCTGAAAAACTAACCACGAACGTTCATTATGAATATCACACGTCATAGAATCAAGTCCAAAAGTTAACTAAATGTATATATTGAAATAAAAAAGTTATTGTGTTTTAAATACAATAGCAAAGTCGACATAATTAGTAGTTACAATTATTAGTATCTACATAATGAGGAAGTAAAACTAAAATCTAAATTAATTACAAATCAAATATAATTCAACACAGTTTACTTAAAATTTAACAAAAATATATATATTAATTAATAATAATAATAGAATTATACCACAACTAGTTTATTCGAATATATAGTTTTGTGATTTTTTATATAACTGGAATGACAAACAAGCAAACCGCCCAACTGGTGATAAGTGGCAACTGTCGCCTATTTGCATGAATACCACAACGGATATCGCGTCATCATGTGACGCCTGTAGTAGGCAATATGTGTTGCGATCTGGAGGACTACAATACTATTCCTCTGTAGTTTGTAAATTCACTGCCAAATCTCACCTTCTAACTACAGCCTACAAAACAAGCTGCGTAACGGCTGAAAACGGTGAGGTATACGCGAGTATATCACTTTGTACGATGTCTACCTTTAGTATGATGCATTGTCTTAAAGTAAAAGGGGTATTATATAATATATTTAATATATTTTCTAGAATTATTAATATAGTTGACAAAAATCGAGTATCCAGCAAATGTAGGTACCGGGACGTTGAACCAACATGTAGCCAGCGATAATAGGCACAATAAACATTCGAGTCGATCGTGCGGCGGCCAAACTTACAATAAAATATCCGGCTTATTTGCATTCAGATTTCGTGATGCTTTCCGTTTGAATAGTGGAGATTTGTGTATTTCATAACGCAACAAACTAGTAGGTATGTTTGTTTAAAATTAAACTTTGATTTGACGCCTTGGACCTTGGAGTTTTTGTCACTCTAACATGTTGTAAGCACTAGATGAAATATCCAAATTACATTATGCATCTAAGTTTTTAGGTGGTAGGTACTGAGAATCGATATAATGTTGTACTGGTTTGCATACAATCGAATTCGGTGCGATCTTCTTTATTCAGGAAATTCGCACATAATTCCCATAGAATGGAATCTTGAGGATGAAAAGGGCACTCCTGCTAGTAATAGTTCTAGTGATAAGTAATATCTGTGTGCATATTTTAGAATTAGATCTTCAATCTCAGATACACGAATCGTAATACCGTCATTCTTGGAGGTATTACGATTTAATTTAATAATAACAAATAGCAGTGGTGCGCAGTGGCATTTTTGTAATAGGACGGATGACAAATTGCCTACAAAGAAAAACTATCCTATTAGCCTATCCAACACTATAATAATTTTTAAAACATTCTACATTCGAACTCAGAAACTTTACCTCTTTGTAATATTAGTATAGATTAATTTAGTAATTATTATCAAATGTTATGTTTAATTAGTAATGTTTTCATTCATTATTGTTTTGGTAGGATGGCGGCATCGCACATCCTGAGTGCGGTAGAGCCGACGGTCGGTGGCGGTGGGACGCGTGGAGGCAGAGAACGTGAAGTGAACGTCGCGCTCGACGACCGCGAACTATGGGTGCGCTTTCAGACCCTCACTAATGAGATGATTGTTACCAAAAATGGACGGTAAGCCTATAACATTTAGAATCTTATTGATGCAGAATATAACATTTTTTAAGAATTAATCTGAATTGGACTGTAAAATGGTTTAAATACGGTCCATGTATTATACAGAAATACAAATTTTTATGGAGCTAAACCAAATTATTTTATTAATCTCTTATATTTCCGTCGCAAAACAAGGACTGAAAAAGCTTTTAATAAAGTCCATTTCATAAATAACTGATGCGTTCCTCTTGTTTTAAGAAAAGGGTAAAAGTTTGAATTGCGGATGTGAATACATATCTATGTCCGTTTTATTATTAAAATTTAATATTCCAAAAGAAATATTTTATTTATTAGATGATGTAATAGCCAAGTATTAAAAAACATATTTGCTGTCTAAAAATACCAAGTGGTTGCCTAAAAATTGAATAAAAACACCCACAGGGCAAAAACGTCTTAATATTTTTTTATACAAAATGTAACATCCCTAGAATTAATGTTACTAAAATATTACCATGTTAAAATAATGATAATATAGAGAATTAGATTATTTAAAAGTGTAAAGACAGTAAGTAATAATGGAGTATAAATATGATTGTTCAAACAAAAGACATCAACGAGCCTACTTTTAAAAGAGGAATGAATAAAAACCGGGATATAGATGAACATATTGCTATTATTTTTTCTACATTGTTATTGGTTTATATAATCATGTTGACAATAATTTTAGTTTAGTCTTTTTATTACTACATACTTTAGGTACACTCGTCACACCTGGCTATCTTTTTTTTCTCTATTTTAATCGGCGATCGCGACACTATTAGAGATGTTTTGAGTGCTACTTGATTTGTATACGAAGAGGTCACACCACTTCTGCCTTTCTACTATACATTTCCCCTCTTCAGTCTCTCTCTCTCTTCGGACTATGTGAGAAGGCTTCAAAAGCTGTATATCTAATAAATTAGGATTGTTAGAGAGTAGGTCTTTATATTTCTTGTCATACCGCTTTATGTCGTCATGAACTATTGGCACATTCAGATACTTCATGAATCTCTTAATTTTTCGAGAACCATGGAGCATTTGCTATAGTACGCAGGATACTCTTTGTAGACATTTAATGGTGTTATTGCTGGCCGTGGCGTAAAAGGTCCACCATAGGTCCACATTGGTTTTAGGACAGACTTATAATTGGCTATCTAATAAGAATGATTTGTATAATATCAAGCTAAAACATGTAAAAACACGCCATCATACTCCTTATTCTTCCCTATGATCGATCTCCCGGCAAATTCAAATGGAAATTACGATCGAAATCGAAATTACGACGGCCAGAGCCGAGGTTCGAACCTCTAAAGGTCCCCTCAGACTAAACTCGTATCCATCAGATGGGAGTAGCCTTCAGCCGCTCTATATGTTTTTCCGTGAGTTTGGCATGCTGTCTGCACTCGCTGCCTATCGTCCGGAGAAACTGTAAATGCCAGCTGCGGCCAATAGCATTAGAGTAGTCTGAAAAAAAAGTAATGGCAAATTTTCCGTACATGTAGGCTTATGACATTCATAAACTGGTTTTTACAGGACAGGTCCAGCCTAGTATAAGAATCAATATTAGTGTGAACATGTGAAACAATATGGTAAATAAATAAATAATTATTATTAAGGGGGTATTCTACTGTAGAGGCATGAATTTCGCCAGGTTTTTGAAGCGCTGTATAAAGGAAACAAATAATATTTTTATTATCGATTTTTTTATCATTTATTTATTGATATTTTATTATTACTTAAAAAAAAATTAATATTCACAAAGTTATGAGCAGTCAAAGTGGGGGCTCAAAAAAAAAAGAGGGTGTCTTGGCGTGCATGATTCCAACCCTCCTGGTGATCTGAAACATAAAAAATAAATGGATTCTTAATTATTATAGATGCCGCCGCTATCGTATGACCATTGGATAAGTTAAAAAAATTTTTTTTTTTTAAAAATGGCGGCAGTTTGAAAAATAAATTTTTTATTCTCATAGTTTTTTAACAATTTGGATTTTTTTAACAATACTAATTGAAAAGTTATAGTTTTTGGCAAGGTCCACGCGATAAAGCGATGTATAGAGAAGATCCTCTCCAAATTTGAAGTAAATCGGTTCATTAGAACTCGTGATATCCTTACCGCCAGCTCGAAAAAAGTAGTTCCGAGAAAAACGCGTTCAAAGTTTTGAGACAAGTTTTCAACAATTTTACTTATAGAATGGTTCAGAATACTTACTTATTTTTAATCGGCCATTCCTGCTTCATATAAAAATCCTTCCTCTACTTCAAAATTCTCATTCTCCGATGTTCTCTGGTGAAGACGTGCACTTCTACCCTCCTTTGACGTCTACCGTCTTTTGTTAACTTGTAGCGGTCGGACCCGAACCGAGGCCACGTCACTAAAACGGCTATAACTCAGGAAATAATAGGAATTTTGAAAAATCCTTTTAATGACATATTTTTGAATAACTAAACTTTGAACATATAAAAAAAAAACATTTTCGATTTTTTCAAAATTCTACAGTAGAATACCCCCTTAAACTAAATTAAAAGTATGGTTAGATGAGAGATGAGATAAAAGAGTACTGCTAGTTTTTATCCAAATATATAGGTATATACTTAGCACAGCTTTTTATGATATTATTGCATAAATGGAAATATCAAACAAACATGTTCATTATTTAATGATGTCTGTTATCCGTAGGTGTTATACGATGAATAGACACATATATATTATGGATAGCATTGTAAACATTATGAGCGACCCTGTATGATAAATAAATGAACGAAATTACATGTAAGACACAATGGTAGAAATATTTATAGCGTCTTAACTAGACACGTTATGAGTTTAAGTCGTAAATTCATTTGAAATGTCTTACTTTAATAAATTTACATAGTTGAAATATTATCTTATGTAGGCTACACTTAAAATTATTTTAAAACTGATAGATATACTAAATAGAAAATTAATTAATACATTTAAAGTATGCGGAACAATAACCTAGGGTGACGAATGCCAACTCATTATATCTCAGGTTATTTTATTCGTAATATTTATGGTTTATCTATGGCAAATCTCTTACGTTAGAATATTTTCAATAAATAAATAATGCCTTTACTTAGACATTTAAATTTTCTACTATATATACATATGTATATATCTGTTTGCTAACAGATATATACACATGTATATACAGCCTCCTCCAACGGTCTCCAGTGGTCTCTATTTAGCAATTCTTGCCCAAGTACCCACCACCTGCCACCACTTTGATATCATCTATCCATATATCTTTCTCTTTTCGTTTTCATAAATTTTATGTATCAACCTTTACATAATTAGTATAAAATGAAATCGCTTCCGATGTTTAATGCAGTTTTTGGCTATAGATAGAGTGATTCATTACGAATGTTTATACATATACACCCGTGTGAAGCCGAGGCGGGTAGCTAGTGCATTATAAATAGAGTGTAATGCATCTGTACATACTCAATACTAGGAATACATATATAGTATTAATGTACATACATTGTAATATATTATGTAAAAACTAACTTGCTAGAAAGCCCCGTGAGCCAGAAGAAAACACCCTCAGAGCTAGAAGAAAAACAAACTTGCCCACTATGGTCAGAAGCAAATCTAAATTGATCCCACCCCTAGGTCAGAGGTTAAGTATGCCCATATCCTTGTTTTTGAACCCGCAAGAAAAAGAAACATAATTTGTTAATAAGTACTATAGTATATTTGGGCTAATATTAATTCTCATGTCGACATTTTAATGACTAATGACAGTTTAAATTTATGTTAGGCATACCTACATATATAAATTCAAAGCTGTTATATAAAACCTATTAAATCATAAAGCAAATTTCCAAGTATACATAAGTTAATATAACTACCGAGAAACTTATGCGAAATAAATCTGCATAATGTCATCAACACGGAGACATTCTGTGTTAACCAGTCACTGACGGGCGGCTACTTTTCAGCCATTAACATGGTAGGCCATTCTCATTAACGCAGGGAGGCTAAATGACACCGCAGATGGATGTTCAGTGGTACCGACGGTCATCCACTATAAGAACACATATAATATATTGAAAATATGAATGGCTGTTGCTTACAGCTTTGGATCTGTGAATCCTATGATAGCGTAAAGGATTTTTTTTATTGAGACTTAGCGGATCGTCTCTTGAAATAAATCTATGTTAACAATTTCAGCCTTTAGCTAACAGACTTCAGTATCAAGGATGGAATATGGGACTGATATAAAAAGTATGGATATATATATTATAGTTATAGGGGTAAGGAAGAATATAAAGAATATATAATTTCGAAGTAAGAATGAAATATATGAAACAAATGATTGGCTATATCTTCTTTATTCTGTAGTAGTAGCCACAGTTGTTTTAATCTCTGTTGGTAATAATGTTATTAGACGCTTTAATACCTATAATTTGTTTCAGGCGCATGTTTCCTGTAGTAAAAGTAACAGCTAGTGGATTGGACCCTACCGCGATGTATACGGTTCTTTTAGAGTTTGTTCAAGTTGACTCACATCGGTGGAAATATGTGAACGGTGAATGGGTAAGATCACTATGAATTACTAAATAGAGAAATACATGCTGTGTGGTATTGTGCTTGTTTTATTAGAAAGTTTTGAGACAATAAATGTATCACCATTTTTAGGTACCTGGCGGCAAGGCAGAGGTACCACCATCAAACGCTATATACATTCATCCCGAAAGTCCAAACTTTGGAGCCCACTGGATGAAGGAACCTATATCATTTGCAAAAGTCAAATTAACTAATAAAACTAACGGAAATGGACAGGTGAGCTGATTTCATAACTTGTATACTTATTCTACAATACTTATGGCTATGTTTCAGTAATAAAGAAGTATAAACTCTTTTAGGTAGGTACGTCAGTAAATACTGGATACAAATGCTCTATATCTCTTATATAGCGTATTGATTACTTTTAATGAAAGCAAATCTTTAGATGTTATTTTATAATTAGATTAGTATAAAAATATCTAAAAAGTAGTTCTTTGTTCTTAAAGCAACAAAATAATTTAAGGTACAAAGAATGCTCGTAGAATTTAGGAGTGAATACCTATTCCTAATGTACACTTACCTGCCAAGAATAGTAGCTGTTAGACCCATTTATTACTTATTAACATTACCAAGGTTCCCACTCATACACTGTATTGAACAGTTGAACGGCAATACTGGTACCGTATCTAAATAATTTTTTTTGTGGGCTGCATTTTGTCCAGCGTCATGGGTATTTGTATATTTAATTAGTTCACTGTATTATTACAATATCTTATTAACAGCATGCGATTTGAAGGTGTCATCTGTAGTTTCATAGCTACCGCTAGTTCAGGGAAGCTGGTTCTCACGGTTGAATTTGGTGCGAATGATTATGAAAGCAAATAGATCTAGTACATCCAGATCCATATGTTGACGACTCGGTGTGAAATCTGTAGCTTTACCGACTGTTTAGCGGTCGCTCGTACTTACTATCATTTGTAATAATTATTGTCTCAATGCTATGTTTACATTACACATGTTTTTACATTAGATCCCCCTAATCAATATGTATCTGTCTTTCATTATCAAAAATTGATTTGTACTGGTGAAAAATGAGCATAACTAATTCGCATAATTATGTCAACGTGCGATATTTATGATACTTATATCATAGCTTTGTTAATTCTACGTACGAATGAGCATTCATATGTCTAGAGTCCATTCGTTAGGTTTCTATTGAGATTTATCTTCTTTTCTAATAAATTCGTTACTATTCTTTTACTATATGATTTTGGTACCATTTCTAATACATAGGTATTTTTGGCCTCCATTTCCAAAATGAAATAAAATATCAATAAGTTATTCTTCATGTCATAACTTTATGTAAATACAGCCTTTCAAAAAGTATTTTCTTACTTACTTACCTTAAAAATACTTAAGGTTTATACTGGAAAAAAAACAAGTACTTAAAATACCTTTAATGCTAAAATTACTTTAATCTTTCGTATAGGTTTAGGGTTTCACCCTTAACTTTATGCTGTAAACATTTATTGTTCTTCTAGAGTTATGGCATTCCATCCTGTAATAAACAATTCAAAAGTTTGTTTAGAAGTAAACGAACGCTTTAAAATCGACCATAAATTTTTGATAGGGTCAATATTCTGTCATTGAAGTCATTGAAACTCATATTGGTTCTTGATTTATGGCATGAGGCATTGTTGTATACGGACGACATCTAGGTTCATGTCACAGAATATCCAATGAGGGTTTCAGAGTAGTTTCCAGCACCTAGATATATTTTTCGATTCCATTCGGCCTTATGCAAATATGCAGCCCCAGACCTAGCCCTAAGCATAACATTGCCTTCGCCGCTCTGTGTCTCACTTAGGTCACATCTGCATTACCAAATACATAAATTTAATAAATCAATCAGAATTTTGTAAATATGTCTGTCATTGAACTTCAAATCTTAAACGTCTGTAATTCATTGAATTATCGTTTAAATGACATACCTCAAAATTGAATTCATCCGACCAAACGATATCAATCTTCCTGGTTTTAATGTTGATCTTCAAAACATAACTGCCAACGTAAGTATTTGTTCATTTCAGACAAGCAAGAAGTCATGCTTTTTCCTTGCCTTACAAGTCTTGAACCCAACATCATGGAGCAATTTATTTCCACAGCCTTGTAGTTTACTGTTATTGGTGATGTCTGAAAAGAAAAAAATAAGTCGAAAGATAAACTTCATAAAAATTAAAACCATGATGTGTTTTAATTGCATGTGATGTGACGTAGAATTTTATAAATTATTACTATAAACATACTATTATTTAAATAATAATTGATTATACAATAATTCCTGTGCTAATGTTATTTACAGATAATGTTGAATTCCCTTCACAAGTACGAACCTCGGGTCCATCTGGTGAAAGTCGGCACTGATTTACGTCGCATCATGACTTATCCATTTCCGGAAACACAATTTATAGCTGTGACTGCGTATCAGAACGAAGAAGTCACATCGCTTAAGATTAAATATAATCCTTTTGCTAAAGCATTCCTGGATGCAAAAGAGAGGCCGGAAGGATATTATCAAAGAGATTTTGTAGGAACTCATTATCCTCAACAAAGTTCTTCACCCCATCAGTATCCACAATGTAAGAATTTTCAATTAATTTACCATAGACGCTAGACGTTAACGCTAATGCGTACAGTAACAATTTACGTTTGTAATCAATTCTTATTAATATAACGATAATTTTTAGATAGTTATTTATTTAGAATAACTATTGGTTTACTGTACTGTGTTACTATTATTATTAACTGTTATTTTGTGTAAATTGATCGATAATTTGGTATAAATTGTAATGGTAGCCATGTTATGGTAGATATAGGCAGTTATAGAGACATTTGAGTTTACGGAAAGTTTGTTTTACAGTTGGTGGTTGGTTTGTAGCGTCACAGTCTTTGTATGGCGGTAGTAACGCATCGTCACGAAGACCAGCGCCGTACCCGCCACGACCGCCCTCCCGACCACGAACATTGTCACCACCTTGTGAGTTATCTTAATATATATAATTAATTCTGGTAAATAACGTCACAGTATTTTTTTTCTTTCATACAAAAGAAAAGGTGAAAAGTGTGAAGTGCTGAAGGAACAAAAACATTACTGTAGTGGTCAATAATAAAGTACACACAATACATAAACAATAAATAAACATAAACAAATTTACATACATAGTTTATGTTACGAGTACAAACCCCCTAGGTCTGTACAACTACTTGTTACACAATCAGCATGGATTGAGCGATTCTTCTTTGAAAGTATGTGCCAATAATGTCCAATAGTTGATGAGTTAAAAGAACGGCAACCAAGAGTTAAGAAAACACAGGATGGCAGGTGGCACACACTTCATTAATTTAGTTATAAGTCGAATCAATGGAGATTTTTAATTGTAATTAATTAAATACGTTAACTAAGTTGAACTTTCTTTGTCTTTTAAAAGACCCATCAGCGATCACCAGAATGTAATTAGTATTAAAATATTTCCACATTTAATTTGATAAAAAATGCCTATTTTGAATCTATTTTTAAAATACCCATAAGAACATTTCACTTACATATTTCTTTTTTTGACAGCATCTTATAGCAATTCTGAGAGGACATCAGTAGCGCCGTCGAATAGTAGTAGCAGTTATACATGGCCAAGTAGTAGCGGTTACTGGAGTTCAGCACAAGGCAGCAGTTCGCCGCAGCCGAACGCATCACCAGGGCCGTACCGCACGCCGCCGCATGGCTACCCTGCTCCTCTTGAATACGCGCCTCCACCACCCACGAGCACGACCGCGTCAACATCAGCGCCCGCACCTCTATACCCTCTACAGTATGAAACTCCTGCTCAACACCATTCGCCTTACTATCAACATGCATATGCTCCATATGCTCACCATGCCATTGAAGATATTTCGTACTGGCCGAATAGGTAAAAATTGACAATTATATTCCATTTCATAAATAATCATACTTATAAAAAAAGTAATAATAAAAATATAGGTATAGAAACAGAACAATTCTACTGTCTTATATAAGTCTTATATTTATATATTTATATCTATATACTTTAAATTTAAAGCTCTTGAAACCAGTAAATTCACGCACATTATACACGCATACTTAATAATAACAATATATTTTTAAACATTTCAGTTTAAATACTTACGGGTATCAACCATCTGAGTATGTCGGAACTGGGGAAGTGGCATATGGCACAGAGAGTATGGCTTTCGGTCCAGCGGGACCTGCACTAGAGGCGTCTACAGCAACCGACGGCAGAAGTTCTCCGGCACCGGAACACTCTTCAACAGAAAGAGAATACAAATTTAGTACTGAAGAAGAACGTCATTCTCCATGTGAAGAAAGTGCATTACCACCACGTTCACCGACACAGTGATATACATTTCTAAGTAGTGCAAAATGTTATTGAAATTATACCTATATTAGTTTTTACACGCGACGTTGTTTGTATTGACCAGGCTAATAAATAGAATTGCTTGCTAGGACCCACTCGTATGCCATATTTCGTAACGATTAGTCAAGCTTCTAACACTCTAAGAGGGATCCTACGAGAAGACGGACGTTTTAGAGTATCGATAACTTAAAAAAAATAGCCATCGTTTAATAGAAGTAAATTAACTTTGAATAATATACGTATATACGAGTACATATTTTTCTATTAATTTTAAGCTTCTATGAAAAGTATTAATAATTGGAATACTTAGGAGGTAATAATTTGGTACGATAATTGTGTTAAATATGTATATGTAAATTATTCTAATAATACATGGTTTATTTACATTGTTAATTATTGTTAAGATATATGTGCTTAATTCAATCCTACATCATTGTAGATATTTTCTAAATTCTTATCCTCATATGAACCAACTTGATGCCGATTTAGTTTCGGTGAATTTGGACGAAGGAAACAGATTAAAAAAAAACAGTTACTTAAAGTTTTGAATGAAATTTTTCGTTCGATATTTAAATGAACTAATACTACACTACAAAATAAACTTCGCGACTATGTCCGCAAAACTAGAATTGTGGCATTCTCTTTCTCCGATTAGTTAGGTTTGTAATCAGTGTTTCGGCGAGCGGAGACTGACCCATATGTAGACATAAAGTTTTGTAGTATCCGTTTGAATCGAACAGAAAATCTTTTGATCTAAGTCGGTGTAGTGAACCACTAGGCTGGAGATAATAATAATAATAGCTCGAAACGATTCACACACAGACATTCATTACAATTTGATTTATTTAATAATAAAAAATAATTAGACAATTTAATAAATAGGTAAGTAGTAAATTAAATTACGTACTATGTAGTTCCTATAACGATAGGATTTTTTGTTGAGTCTTCTATAATTATGCTTATAAGCTGTCTTCCCTTGCCCGTGCCAATTTATCTCCTGTCTAATCTATCTGTTTCCGTGGGTCATATCAGAAATTTATTTTTTAGTACATTTTTACCTGCGATATGTTCTCATGTTTTTAGCCTTAGGGATTTGGGCTGTGCGGTGACGGATACGCCTATCAGTGACGATAAGTCTCTTTAATGTCATTAATTCAATATTTGGGTATTCTGAATGAAAGGGAATACATACTATTGCTAAAAATCGTATAAACACAAGAGTTGGTGCTATTGATAAAGATCTATTCTCAAAGTAAGGAGATTAAACGGATGGTCTGTTGTAGTCATGAATACATATGGTTGTATGGTGCTAGGATTAAGGCCGTTACTATCAGAAGATCGGAATATTTATACGTAGTGCATTTGATAAATTGTTTTAACCAGAATAATATACCTACAAAACATGGTTTTTTAATTTTCCTCAAAAATAAATTGATAAAAATATCCTGTAATATAAAATAACATGCCATGTCCAAATAAATGACAAATATACGCACCCACTCTTTCTATACGCAGATGAAATGTTTATCAATGAAACATTGTTAATGAGCTCATAGTTAAGAAGTGTACCTAAGTAAAGGTACATAGTTGTTTGTCTTTTTTTTTCTATAACAACCAAGTCTTGACGTCTGTCGATGAGTTGATATAGTTGGGTGTTGTAGCGTCTAGAAAATATAAAAGTTGTAAGCCTGTGAAAGTGTTTTTAAACTACCTTTGAAGGGGAATTAATAAGAGACAGTGATGTAAGATATAAAATTAGGGCAAGACCACTACTGTATCATCTCGATATAGCAGGTATTTATATAATTATTATGGCGAATTATTGAACTGAATAATTCATACTGTAAAAACCATACAAAGCTTATGCATGTTATACATTCTTAGTTACTTCAATAAGCTGTTAGTGGCTATTGTATTTTACTTCAGCAATAAAATAATATTTTCGTTATAAATTGTTTTTTTTATGTGCGATGTGTAAGGGAAGGGCATTCTTAATGCTATGTAATATTATGTTATCTGTGAGGACTTGTCTTAGATCCCATTGCTAGCAATGTATCATATTAATATCCTTCATCGGACCCCCCCTGGAAACTATCGTATTGAATTGGGCACGATGGGTAACTGGCCTGACGTAAAGTCAGGTCAGGTTGCCCATCAGCCGTCTCTGACCCATCAATTATATTGTTGTCCGTACATTAGCGCGGTGCACCATTCCATTACCATACAAACAAGCGATTGGTACACCATCTATATAACTTATCTATAAGGTATCTAGATACGCTTGAAAGTATAATAACTATGTTATTATAGATATCTATATATGTAACACTAGTACATAATATACACAGTTAACATAATATTATGTCGTCTTTCTTAGAGCGCATACGGTCCCTGAGGCATAAAAGGAGGATATACTTTGGGTAATGACCCGATATTATAGAGATAACAATTAATACACTAGGAGATACAAGGGTTTTTTTTTCGGACTACTCTAATGCTGTTGGCCGCAGCTGGCCGTTACAGCTTCATCGGATGTTAGGGGGCGAGTGCAGATCAACCAAAGAAAGGACTTATGAAGCGGATGAAGGCCAACTCTCGCTTGACGGATACGATTTTAGTCTGAGGGCACCGCTAGGGGTTCGAAACTCAGCTGAGGTCGTCGTAATTTACGACGATCTCAGCTGAGTTCGGGGATCGCCCCGTTTGAATTCAGACGGGGACCGATCGGAGGAGTGCCTTCTTTTTATAAATATTCGGTGACTCGTTAAACAACTTTTTTCGTTTAACAATTGAAATTAATCTACAATGCTTACGTATAGTTTTATATAACAATTCATACTAAATCCAGTTTCTACAAAACAACTATAAATAGTTAGGTACTTCACAACACTTATTGCAAAAGTCAAACACACACAATAGAGATCATATTAGAAACTTTGGTACTTAATTACATTGATATTTAAAAATAACAGTTTAGATACTAAATTACTTACTACATATACCTAATCTTACACAAGGTAAAAAACGACCTTTCTTTATAAGTTAGCCTTTTTTTCTTCTATATTTTAATTTTAACAGTTTTGATTATACCTGTTTTTTTATGGATGACTAGCTGTACCCGTGACTTCGTCCACGTGGAATTTAATTTTATTTGTCTAAAATAAAAGTTTTTTTCTCAAATATAAGTAGCCTTAGATACTTCACCTTACTTAGTTACGTTACCTTATTACATCAGCTACCTGCCAATAAAAGTCCCGCCAAAATCGGTCCAGCCATTTCTGAGATTAGCCGAAACAAACAGACAGACTCACAGACAAAAATTGTAAAAAATGTTATTTTGGTGTATATATATATATATATATATATATATATATATATATATATATATATATATGTATATTTATATTCATATGCATAATTGCATATAGTAAAAAAGGTTATTTCAATATTACAAACAAACACTCCAATTTTATTTATATGTATAGATGCATAGATAATAGAATGGGGGATGTCCCATTCCATGCGCCCCATTGCCTGCCCTATCGATTTATGCGGGGTGGGTACCAGTGAAGGATGATAAGATAAGAATCAGGTCAGGTCAGTTAACCCATCAGGTTAAATTCACCAAGAATTAATCACGATGGTTTTCAGGGGGAACCGCGTGTAGGTCAACTTGACATTTGTAGATTGGTAGCAATAAAATTATCACTTTGGTACATTGGTAGCAATAAAATCATGTCTGAAGCGTCAAACTGAAAATAATGTCAAAGTTTTCCCGCCTTATCAGACTGTCACCAACAATACATGTCATTATACAATATACAACTTACTCTATGCTACGCACAAAAGCAGTACTTACTTACTTTTAACGTTTAAACGTTTGGAATCATCATGGATTATGAAATTATTGTAAATAACAGATAATAAACGTCAACTATGTAACAATTACATTATTTGCAGTCGGTATACAGTCACAAAAACAGACCTCCTGTATATATAAAGAAGACCAAGTTGCTTATTAAAATAAGCATGTTTCAAAAGCTATGTTTATGGCAAGCGCTCCTCTCTAATTTGCTTGCAGCACCGGTGGTTTTGTTCTGTAATCTGTGCTATAAGTACTAAAATAAACTTTTTACTTTCGTTTGTGTCCTTAACTAAAAAAATTATATAAATGTGAATTATTATATCTTTGTATGAAATATATCTAGAAAAACTTTTGCAGCTAATAGTTTTCGTAATTTTCAGTTCCTAATTGGCATATTTCGGTAGTTTTGAATATTTTGAATGGTAAAATGTAATTAAGTGTTTGTATGCCATAATTTAGCTAAATCATTAATATATTTTGAATATAAAATAAACTACTAAATTATCACAAGCATCATGGAGTCTACAGTTTCAGTTTCTAAGGTCTGTAATATAATATACTTAATTATTTAAAGTATAGTAAAAATATTGTATTACTAGAATATATTCTACTTGTATACTGTTTTATAAGAGTGTAATATATATTTTTATTTAGGGTATACCAAACTTTACAAATGATAAACTATTAGCACTTTAAATGTGAAAACCAACTAACAACAATTGGGTACTTCATACTCAGTTCATTAATATATATAGTTCATATGTAATATAAAACATCCTGGTGAGTTAAATAATCTCAGAAATTCTCAGTTTAGAAAAGTAACAGTGGTGTACAAGTTTAACACAGAATAACTAATTAATTAATCATAGACCAAAGTAAATACTATGTAACACATTATTAATTGATAAATTATAGAAATGTGCATACTCAACATAAAGACAGTAAGAAGATACAGTCTATTTTGAAATATTCAAACAAAGTTCATATGCTGTACCAACGAGTCTGAACACTGATTACAAAACTAACAGTAACAATAATTTAAGTTATGTAATAATTATTATTTAATTTTTTTTTAATAATTTGTTTTTCAGGGTGTATTTTTATTTTCTAATGGTTTTAATAAAAAATGTTTACAAAAGAAACATAAACAAAATCTGTTTGAGAAAATCTTTAAAAAAGAACTTTGGTATGAAACCTATAAAAGGAATTGGGACTATATTGAGAATGAACTAGCAGTAAGTTTGTCAAAATATTCTCATTATAATAGTTATTATTTAACAAGTACAATAAATATGAAAAAATAATTAGCACATACTTTGTGTGAAGATAGGACCTTAAGTTTCACAATTATTTTTGTGTACTATTTTTATGTATATCTATGTAAATGTAGGTCAAAATGGAATGGAAAAACAGTCACATTCCTGCACTAATGGTATGCATGGGAAGGGAAGGCACAAGTGGAGGAGGGTAGCATGGAATTCGGTTAGATAACTAACCAGGAATGAACCACAATGATTTCCAGCAAAGATCATTTCCAAATTCATTGTACATGGCTAGTAATGGGAACCATAAATCCTGTTAACAATAACAATCCCCAACCTTCCATGTCTACCATTAAGTAAAACTTATTTCTACTTGTAATATTGTACAAATTTAAAAATAATGTATGGGTTTATTAGCAATGGTTATACCTACTTCTTAAATTTTCTTTTCTCAGCTAACCTTCTAGTGGATACCTCCACTTGAAGATATTGCTGGGCAGTACATGAGTGTTGTAAGAGATCTCGGGTTGGTCTGATTATATATATATCTTATATATAAAATTCTCATGTCACAATGTTAGTTACCATACTCTTCTGAAACGGCTTGACCAAATTTTATGAAATTTTATATGCATATTCAGTAGGTCTGAGAATCGGCTACTATCTATTTTTCACACCCCTAAGTGTAATATCCACCCCTAAATATATATTTTTTATATATAAATATTATTTTTTCTACATAATATTTTATTTTCATTTTATTATTATTTAGAATTGAAAAATACATACAACTCCAAATTTTCACCCTTCCAGCATCAACTCCTATTTTTTATATGGCAAAATAATGTTTGCCGGGACAGCTAGGGTTTTATAAAAATATTAATAATGTAGTAAGAAACTAAATTATTATTTCCAGGATCTGCATTGTAAGACTTACAGTATGTTGCTTAACAATATGGTAAATTATATTAATTCATTCTCCATCAATAATGATCCTGAGACATGTGAAAATATTATACCTAGTGTTACACTACTTACTGGTGTTAACCAACCGGATCATATCTCTCAGTTTACAGCACTTATTAATAAACTCAGGTAAGATATTTTTGAACCTATAAACTTTTTTAATGGATTATTATTATAATATTATGGTGCATCAGCCTGTTATAACAGATTTTGCTTGTGTGGCACTGGGACTACAGGAAGAGAATGAAGTCAGGTCAGTTAGCTCATCATAATTAATTGACTAGGAATTAATTAGAATGGTTTACAGAGGGGGCAGAGTGGAAGTCAATCTGACATGGTACATTGATAGCAATATGTTATATTGCTAGTTCATATTACTATAATCCCGTCCCCCCTAAAGACAAAAATCATGATGGATTCTTGTCTTTAGGGGTATGGCCAACCATGAACAGTTTAAAAATACTATATTGAAATGACTCAGGTTTATGTAAATTAGTTTTTGTTCCATCTATGTTCCTGGTGGAGTTCTCTTACTGTGTCTATTGGATTGATTGAATAGTCAGAACTATTTGTGGTTGAAATACTTCTACTTATTGCTATTTGCTACATCTATATATATCCTGAATACTCACTTCCCACTGTACAATGTTTTTTTTTACTTGAAATTTTTATACTCACATACAATATACATCATCTGAACATGTTAAACCTACCTTACTCTAAGTTATAATGTTTGTTTATTAGCATAAATAATTATAATTAAAAATACTAAATTACAGGGATGAAGTGACATCACATATAGCGATGGTAAATTCACAAGATGCACCCACTGTTAAACATTTGGTAGAAAATGCTGTTTGGCAGTTAATTCATGGATATGAAGCAGTGGTATGAAGTCCTTTTATTTGACCATTATTTATTTTTGGAAGAGACATGCTAAGTACATATAGAGCTATTTGCATTTAATATACTTATTTAATATTTATTTCTATTACATAAACTACAATTATAAGTAGTTTATAATATTAATTATTATTTATTAAAAGTATAACAGCATAGTTCTCTGAATTACATGTTATTCATTGGCATTTAAAATATGTCAAATATATAATTATTAATTGTTTCTATAACTGTATTACAGACTGATTTAGAAAATGAGGACTCACATGATAGCAATGAAATAAAGAAAATAAAAAAGAACCAGTGTACAATGAAAGTATTATTGAAATGGTATAATTCAAAGTATGTCAATGTGTCACCAAAGAAGAAAAAGTTAACATCAAAGAGATCTCTAGTTATTGTAATACCTGATTTTGAAAGTTTTAATAGCAATGTATTACAAGATTTTGTAATGATTATAAGGTGAGTCAATTATTGGACTTTTTTGTAATAAAATGATTTATTATAAAAAAAGTTATTACAACTTCCAGATGTAATTACAGTAAACCAACTTCTACCTAGTTGCATCTAATGAAACTTGCTTTTATTCTGGTACAATCAGTCAATACAATATTATTAAATGTAAATAGACAACAAATACTGAAACATAGGTTATGTACAGGATGTAACAGATATATCTATTAGATAAATAAATAAATGGAGGTTTGTTCTATGAGACCTTGCTAGCACACACATTGAAACACATTTATTTGCTCATCTTTATATTCTCATTGTTTTCAGTTCATATGTGTCTGTATTGCCAATAGTATTTGTGTTTGGTGTGGCAACTGCAGTATCGGCGCTACACAAGTCATTTCCATATCACGTGTCATCCAAATTGTTGATTAAAGTATTTCCTTCCCACTCATCGCCTGTGTATATGAATCAGGTAAGGACAGTTTGTACTTATATTTAATTTAATTATTAAACAAAAATATAAAACAATAAAAACTGTTTCAGGTGCTTGAGGACATATTTTTGACTTATACAAGTCCTTTCCATTTATCAGGGAAAGCGTTTGAGTTGTTGACTGATGTATTCCTTTTTTATGATTTTTCGGTGACAGGACTTGTTCAAAGTATCAAGGTAAAGGCAAATTTGAATATGTAATTATGTATCACGGCAAAAATATTGTTTATACTCCAGATAGGGTAGTAATTTTTTTTATAATTTCGTTGTACGGTGCCTAGCCTCAATATCGAGGCTAGATAATAGTACCAGGCTGCTAAATTTCTGTTAATTTAATAATTATATTAAATTAATAGAAATTTAGCAGGAGACTGAACAGGAATTTTTAATATTTTATATACCCAATTGAAATAGGCACACAGGTTACCTGGTGGACGTCATAAACAGAACTATGGACATAACAGAATAGAATATAACATTTTTATAGTATTAGTTCAGATTTCAGATTAAATTAATTAAAATTAGGTTTTAAGTATGTTTACTAATTATTTCACATGTATTTCTGTTTCAGTACTGTATGATGGAACATTATTATGGAGACAATGTGAAAGCGCTCTGTAACGGGAGAGAAAATATAGAAGATATAGTTAAAAATTTGAGTACAGATGATCTAGAAAGCATCAGGCAACTGATGTCTTTCAGGCCATTTTTGGAAGCACAATTAGATTGCCAAACTAAAATCAATTTGTTTGAAGATGACAACTTCTTTAGAGAAGTGCTTTGTAGTGAGATTAATAAGTTACATGACTATATGTACACATTTTATGTTTGTGTTAGATTATTGGCAGCTGTTCTCGTAGATCTTCCAAAGAACATGTTAGGTAAAACGGTAAGAGTTAAAATTTGCATTTTAATAAAATACGTCAAACTTCTAAAACGTTTGATTGAATAATTGGCAAAAATATTAGGAAATAATGTCTATCTAAATATTTAGAAGGAAATTCATAATGTAGAGAAAATTTAACTGTTTTCATTTACACTCGTAATTATTAATCTTATTCAACAGTAATAATGTAGACCACTGTGCATTTTTAAATATGATAGTTTAGCCCAAACTAGACCAGATGCAATGGCCAATGATATTTCAACACTTACAGTATGTACACATATTATAATTTTTATTTGTTAAATTGTGTATTGTGGAATCGGATTTGGCTCACAATGTGCATGTCACGGCACTAGGAGTCACTTCTATTAGGAGTTATTGTCATAATAAATGTTATTGTTAATCTTATTTATTATTATTATAGGTCCGCGAAATTTACACTAAATGTGCTGTGGAATGTGTTACTGATACACAAGAGTTCAAAGAATGTATGCAATTAATAAATTTTCAATCGCAAATGAAGTTAGTTGAAAATATAAAGCAAATATTAAAAGTAATTAATACTGCTTTACAAGTGGTCTCGCCAGTGAAACCTCTTCGGGCCACACCAACCAAAAATAATTTAAGTAACATTCAACTGAATAGTGACCTTGGAGAAAACTTTGTTAAAACTATTAGAGTACATCTTTTAATGTTTTTACGACAAATTGAAAATGCTAGTACGGAAACGAATGTTATTACTAGCGGTACCGAAAATGAAGTCAATTCTGAAAATACTCCTGGTAACAGATATAAACTGAAAGAGGTAAGATATTTCCTATACTTTACTGAATTTTGTGTATGTGGTTAACAGTAATATGGATAGCCTTCTTGAAATTTCGATACAAACACTGTATTAGCAGGATTTCAGACAGCTTAGAGTAATCACTGGGTTTATAAGAGTTTTAAAATTATATATAGGTTTACATTCAGATTTACTCATATGTAACGAGTGTATTACTTTTTTATGTAATGTGAATATCACGTTGCTACAAAAATTCGCAAAATGAAATCATTAACACTTACAAGAATTACATAATACATATATTTCAGAAATTACTTAAAGCTACAAGAGTGGATAAAGTTCAATCCGAATTCGAAATGGTGCGTACAAGATTCGTGAGTTATTTAGAAGAAATGTTTAATAAAGGGTTGCAACCGCCCCATACGCAAACATTCCATGAGATATTCTACTTTAGCGATATTTCGAGCGTGAAGAAGCATATAGTTGGATCTCCACGGGGAGCATTACACACTGCTCTCAGCAATCCAACCCATTACCTCCAGGTATGTTTTCAGCGCATTGCTGTAAGGAATCACATTAGATTTTTTTTGTAATACTTTGAAATTTTGTCACTATCCTATCAGGTTTTAAACTAAATGTATTTGTGTCTGTCCTTATTTATCAATGTATTACATCGTATGCTCGATAATATTGCTTTTGCTTGGTTTTAATTATTTCTTTACTGTATTATAATTGTTTTTATGGAGTGTACTATTGTTGCCAATATAAAACTTCCTTCTTCCCTTTAATTCACGAATTTTTTCACGAATTAACTTCCCTTTAATATCACGAATTACTACGAAATACTACTTACGTTTCGGCTTATCTGAGAGGCGCCGTATATTTCTTGCTTCTGCTTGTGTGCTCATTCTTTTCTGTCATTTAAAGATACCTTTTAATGTGCTCCTAGTTTTCTTTGACAAGTACATGAAATATTAATGTCCTTACTTTTATAATGTTTGGAATTGAATTTATTTTCACTTATTTTAATTTTAAAATATGATAAATAATTTAATAAACAGGAATTTCTAATATATTTTTTTCGATAATGCAATACATTTATTTTTCTATTATATTTTAGTGTTCTTGCTGTCTGCTGACGTCTTCAGAGAGTGCAGTGGATACATTACCGGACGTTTGTTTAGCATACAAGTTACATCGAGAGTGTGGCAAACATATCAATTTATTTGACTGGCTTCAAGCATTCGGTGCAGTGTTGCGACCTGAGGATGACGATGACCAGCGACAGCAGGATTCAAGCATTCAGTAAGCACAGATTACAATTAGTTCAGAAAATAATCTTCACAAATAATCTATCCAATAATCTTTTAGTCTTCAGTAACGTTGTAATAATTTCTCAGGAAAGATATACAAGACAATGATTTAAAGTGTATAATAGTTGTAATAGAGATCGTAAATAGATGATATCCCATGAGATCAACGGTATTTTGTAATGTATATAGGATTTTCTATGTCATCGTATAACAGCCGATGGTCCCAACAACCATTAAGTTCGTTTGATTTATTTAATAATAATATAAATTAGCTATATTAATCACGAGTGGCAAATAAGATTTTTGTGTGACGAGGAATTAATTGAGGTTATTGCCATGAGTGGCATCAGGTATGTTACTGTTATGATGTTATTAAAGTTGCCTATTGCATTATGGCTGCCTATCGGGTAATTACACTGCCATATTTTAGCATTCAAACTGGAACACAGTTTATAAAGGATGCTGCTTGGTTATAAAAATATGCTGGAGTCTCCTTTGGTATAAATATTTAAACACTACTAAGCATAAAATAATTAATTTAATTAAGTAAGAAATCTCTTTAACTCTTTACATTTGTTATAGCATATTTAAGAAGAAAAAGTTCTGCTTGTTTAGTATTTGTAAGAATGCTTCTGAATATATTTGAAAAGAAATTGACAAAGTATATGTAGTAAAACTGTTTTATTTACTTTTCAGTGTAAGATTTACCCGTGCTGTTGCAGAGCTACAGTTTCTTGGTTTTATAAAATCTTCTAAACGAAAGACTGATCATGTTATGCGATTAACATGGTAATGTTAATATTATTAATTTATTTTTGTACCAAATAAAAAATGTTTTGAGGAATGGATTTGTTTAAAATTTACCTTTTTTATAATCACAAAAATTGCCTTGTATGATTTTCATGATTTAGTTGATGAGATGCATTACATCTCTTCTATATGGAATTTGAAGATTTTAAGCACTGATAAATTTATATTTACGGGTTAGTGGTAGAATGTCACATTTATATATACAGAAGTGTAAGTTGGACTTGGTTTGAAATAATATATAATATATTATTACGCAAACTAGAGCATTATGGGATTAGAGAAAAATCCTCAGAACTCATTGGATCATATTTGCGCGATAGAATTCAAGTGGTAGACATTAAAGGAAGCAAGTCCAAGGGGTCATTTATAAAAATGGGTGTACCCCAGGGTTCTATACTTGGCCCATTTCTTTTTCTTGTTTATATAAATGACATACCATACCAGTTTCAAAACATACTTGACATAGTATTGTTTGCTGATGACACATCACTTATTTTCAAAGTGAAAAGAAATACAAAGGATTTTAATAATATAAATATTGCTCTTGAGGATGTTCTAAACTGGTTTACATCAAATAATCTAGCGCTTAATTCAATGAAAACAAAATGTGTTAAATTCTCTTTACCAAATGTAAAACAAGTAACGACAACTGTTAGTATGAATCATCATGTTTTGGACTTTGTTGATGAGACTTCGTTTCTTGGTATTGTAATAGATAATAAATTGCAGTGGGGTCCACATATATTCACACTAGCCAAAAGACTAAGTTCGGCTGCTTTTGCTATCGGAAAAATTAGACAGTTGACTGATACTGCAACAGCGAAACTAGTGTATTTTAGTTACTTCCATAGTATAATGTCGTATGGTATTATATTGTGGGGAAGAGCGGCTGATGTAGAATCAATTTTTATATTACAAAAAAGAGCAATTCGTTCAATATATAATTCACCGTGTCGCGAATCTCTTAGAGAACGCTTTAAAGAAACAGGTATTCTTACTGTTCCCTCTCAATATATATATATGAAAATATTATGTATGTACGCAAAAACTTAAATTTATTTCCAAAAATAATCACTTACACGCTTTTAATACAAGGAATAAAAATAAATTAAATATGCCTAGTTATCGTCTCAAAAAAGTAAGTACATCTTTCATGGGACATTGTATACGTTTTTATAATAAATTGCCAGATAGTGTTTTAAATTTAAGTGAAGCCAAATTTAAGATACATGTAAAAAAAACACTTTGCTCTAAAGCTTATTATAAAATAAACGACTACTTAAATGACTAGGTACAATGTGTGGACATAATTACAATTTTAACTTTTGTTATGAGGCATATAATTTTTCCCATTGACATGGATAATGTAATAACAATAAAGAAACTTATTATAAATTTTGTAATGACATATTGTAAATTAAATAATGTAAATTTAATATTGTAATGGGTGATAACTGTGATCGGTACAGCCTATGCTGTAAATAATATAATTGACGTAGTGGAGTAACCTGAAACAGTCATGCTCGCTATAAAGTTCAAACTTGTGGCGGCGTGGTGGGCCGGGTCGATGTGCTCCCTCAAATATGGTTGAGTACAATGATGGCTGGCTCATACGTCATACTCGTGAACGGGTGCTGCTTGTGGGGACTGGTCTGTTCAGGTTGTGAACACTGATTAAATTTTTTGTTCTTTGCGATAGCATATGCTGGTGGTCACTCTATTCTCCCAAATTTGAATTTTAATAACTGTATTTATCATAAACATGTTCCACTATTATTTGAAAAAATTACGAGCTGAGTTTCTTGTCAGTTCTTCTCATCTCGATATCATTCCGAACTGACGGTAGATTTGACATATCATAAGAGTCTGTAATAGACCTACATGAATAAAGATATTTTGAATTTGAATTTGAATAATATAAAATTGTAAAAACGATAAAAGTATTTAAAAAGAATATCCGGTCATAGATATATCAGAACGTGTAAATGAAAATGTCAAGGGAGGAAGTGAGAGGGTACGAGGAGAATGGTGGGGAAGTGTGACATCACCTAGTTTGTAAAAAACCAATCACAATGCAAACAATGTTTAATAATAAGACAAGAGAATGTTAATGTCTGTACTCAGAACTATAGTATTTTAAAATCTCTGTCAATAAATTGATAGCTGTAAATATCATACTTTCAAATTATGTTATCAGCTGTGGGGTAGTGCTGTTCCTACGATACCGATTCGTTGAATCGTAACTTTTTATTTTAGATGGTTGGTTTTAAAGTTTCTATAAAGAATTTTTAAAATTTGCATTTGTTTCCATCACTGGTTTAGAATTAAACATAAATACATTTTTATGGTGTCAGTACATGTCATATTTGTCTCCGAGACAAAAAAAGAGACCAACAAATATTCACTACATAAAAATATTAACAATCTTTTTACAAGTTTATTAAAAATGAATGTCCTTGTTTGTGTTTGTGTTTACCTACTATACTATTAATCTTGGCACTTGTCCAGTTTTTAATAGTTACATACAAAACAAACACTTGACCTATATTGTCAATATAAAATTAAATACCCACATATTTTGTTGACCTTTCATTTTGAATAACACATTAGGATTTATTTATATTTATACAAATATTATCTTTAGATATTTTGACGATATGTTTGTATTTCAAATATACAAAAACATGACTTAACATGTTTAATAATTATCATACCTTATAGATATATAGAATAAAATCAGAATACAAACCCAGTTCTTATGAAAATTTGTGAAAATTACACACAAACTCCACACAAACTCAAAGTTCATATCCGACTAGCTATGTATCTATGTTAATTTGTATTTCTGATGTACTGGTGAAGGAAAGCCCTCTAATAAATGAAAATTATTTCATATCACGTTTGATTCAAATATTAGGTATTAAAGAGCCAAATCGGTCATATCAAGAGTTGCATTTGCATCATTATAGAATGCCTCTTATTAGTCCATCTGGAATAATAGTCAAGAATGTAGTGTGCTGTGTTATAAGAACAGATACAAGTTCCTGGCACTGGTGTGGTTTTTCTACGTTAATAGGTAAATTAAAAAATAATAGGACTATACACTATAGTACTTATATCATATTTATACTACAGTTGACAACCCCAAATTTATAAACCAGGATTTGAAGTTGGTATAACCAGGACAATTCAGTTTAAAATATAGGACGCAGTAATTTAGTTGCAATAGTAAAATTTATATGTACCTAGAGAGAATAGGTGAAATGAAATAAAAGTAATTAGGTAATATTAAAAATTTCAAATCGTATCCGAATAGTTTTTAAGCAGCATCCTGTGAATTTAAAATTCACAGGATGCTGCTTAAAAACTATTCGGACAAATACTATTCCAGGACACTACTACTGTTGGCAACTCTAATTTATGCGTACGTATATCTAATATAATAGGTATATGTATATTTAAGTAGTTTTTACAAATGACTTTGTTCCCGTGACCGGTTATATACCTAAGTCTCGAAATAAATGTATTCAATTTATAATTTAGTTAATATTAATTTTAAGGCTTTGTGTCACATAAACAATTAAGGATATCTATTATGAAATCTTTAGTTTATCCATCGTTGTGCTTTGGTAGTCAAGCGGATTACCACATCACCTTACCTCCGATGATCGCGGATTCGATTCCTCGCACGGTACAAACATTTGTATTCATTAGTATGATTATTTTTATTGGTATAAATACTTTCTATGTATATTAGGTATGTATTTAAAATAAATGGTATATATATATCAGTTGTCTAGTACCCATGCCACAAGCTCTGTTTAGCTTGGAACTAGATGGCGCTGTGTGAACCAGGGATATTATTCTTCTTCTTCTTTATTTTAAACCGCCGCCACCAAATTTGATCGGTGATTTTGCCAATGTCATGGTTTGAGAGACACAGTGTAGTTTGTAGTTGTGGCTAATTTTAATTTGCTCGGTAAAGTTTGACAGTTTTGTTTGGGTTCGGTATATTATAATTAAGGACAGAACAACACCTGAGGGACAACTATTAATTGGGTTATCATTATTAGGTGGACAATACTAGTTATTAGGACAATACACACTTAATATTAAATTGAGGGGAGCCGGTTGGGAATTACAATTTCAGATTATTGGTAATTAAAAATTTAGCTAGTATTCTGACTATGGAGGGATGGGACAAAGTTAGAAGAAATGATATATTGATATGGGGTAGGATATCATAAAGTTGGACTGAAAAATTTGGGCACTTGAAGAAAAGATGTTCCATAGTTCCTTTATCCAAGCCACATTCGCACAGTGAGTGATAGCGGACTCTGATCTTGCATAGAAATGTAGGAGTGCAGACATGACCTAAGCGAAAGCGACATATTACAGACGTGACCCATTTTTCCAGTTTACGATGTTTGAGATATTATTATTATTGTTATTTTGCTGCTTTATAAAGGTATGTAGATATACCTTTGTACATACCAAAGTCAACGTCTATATTTAGCTGTAGTCTCTGGTGTTATAGAATAATTCAGTATATTACAGAATCATTCTAGTACATCTTTTTTAAAATCAGATAATATTAATGAAAAAAAACGTAACCTATATACTAAAAGTTCGAAAAAAAACCACTATGGTTATACCCTTAACCGATTTACCGATTTTTATAAATTTAATATTCAAATTCAGTAGGCCTGAGAATCGACAAATTTTTTGTCACTTTTTTTTTATAATGTGGCATTAAAGATACACACAACAATAAATAAATTTTCAGCATTCTATCACCTACCCTTATTTTTTAATAGCAATGTATTTCATATGGCAAAATAACGTTTGCGGGATCGGCTACTTTTATATAAAATATTGGTATTAGCTTATAACGATTTATGCAATATGCAATACTATATACAAAAGAGTAAATGTTGGGTAAATACGTTTCTAATCCTTTTATCAGTCTTTTCAAGTAGTATGTGAATTATGTCCACTTGTTTATGTTTAATTACCACTTATATTACATGCCTACCTATATTTATTATAAAAAATAACCTTGAATTCTATATTTTCACTATAGACCGGACCTGAAAGGTCACAAAGGCACATCACTTTTATTGCGACGGCATAGAAACACGAAACAATAATTATAGTTTTGTGTATAATATATAAGATATTTATGCACTGGTTACTTTTTGTTTCCAAATTTTAACATGTTAGAGAGGTGATATGTTAATTTTGTTCAAATAACGTGCTGGCATATTTAATGTTTAGGTATTTTATTTTTTCTTTACCTGCTGACCTTTTTCTGTTTCTGAGTCAACTAGCCCTGTTTTATGGATTAAGAGATGTATAAGACATTAATAATCCACGTATAAAAAATAATATCTAAGTAATATAGGTGTATTTTGTTATTCATGTATTTTTAATATCCATCCATATAATGTTAGTAAACAAATTAATAACTTTGTTAGTAAATTACAATATATATCCTATTATTTTAATTCATGTATCTATGCCTATGTCGATATCCAGAAGCAGAAGAAGAAGAAGAAGTCCGTAACAGTGCAATGATGTCCGGTGCCTTCTGGAGCGGATTATCCGACATAGGTACATATTTGCTGTAATGTTTAGGATGCTTATTCTGATGTGAACATACTAAACCAAAACTATGAAGAATCTAGCTAAATATCCGTGGTTGATCCAGCTATTTGACAAAATTAAAGGATTGATATTCAAAATAGAAAATACGAAATAGTTTACAATTTCATGAAATACATAGTACAATAGAGAAATAACGTCATTGTTTTGTATAGATGTACCTAAATATAAAGAAAACGGAAATAAATTATTTTTAATATAGACATCTAATATATAATAATAAACAACATAATCATCGTTGACAATGTACATTAGCATTCTAAATAACAAGGTCGAAACTATAAAAGTATTGTAATTTATTTAGAATTACCTATCAGTCAGTTAGATGCTTTGTATTCTGGTGCAGATTGCAGAGCAATCAATCAGGGAAAATACGGAAAACATGAAGTTGTGTATTTTGATTAATAAATACTTATTAGGTATTTATACGTATGTATATAAATATATATATTTACGTACTTGTAAATATTCCTATTACCGTAGCTTCGTTGAAAATAATATTTTTTAAGTTTAACATTTAGGTTTTTATTTTCTATTTTCCTGTTCATTTTTGTTTAAGCTAAGATTATTATAATACATGTATGATGTATTATGTATGAGTACAGGCAAAATTATTATTAATCTTAAAATCGATAACAATTATTTTTGTTTTTTAATTGTTACATAGTAAATAAAACTCGACGTATTTGCAGAAAAGTAACAGACTCATGTTTGTTATTTTACTGAAGGCTGATTTTACACATTTAAATTTAGCTGAAATTGTAAAACTAGTAAATGTATATAGTAATCTTTCATACACAAATGTTATGAATAAGTAAGTAAAAATAAATGAATAATAATGTAAATAAATTAACTACACCTACATATGTAAATTAAACCTTCGATAATATTCTCAAAGGGCAAATGTCGTTGATTAAATGCCATCTTTTCGACGCTAATTCACATATTTTATGTAGCATAGGAATGTAGGGAGCTCGTAACATCATAACCACGATAAATATTAAGTGACATTATTTTTACAATTGCAAACAATATTGTGCAAAAGCTTAATACAATATTTGCATTCTTTTGCATTGGATTCGTAGTCTTTTTTATTTTATATTCGTTTCACATCAACATTAATACCAATGTAATATTCTCAAAAATGTCTAATGAGTATGTACCTAGGTAGTTATGACATAGTTGATTTTATATAAACTTAAAGTCAAATTAAACTATATCCTGATATAGGTATATAATTCATCCAAAGGGTATTTGTCGCATAACTGAACGAAATAAAGAAGAAAGAAATGAATTTTCAGGTAGGATGACGTACACCGGGTCCGCTTATAATATTATAAAAATGTTACAAATATCTTTAAGATAAGATTACATTTCACTTTATCTAAGGATGAAATGGGGTGTGCACAAATGTGTAATGATATTTATAAATTACTATTTAATATGTACCGACTATTGAAATTGAGATTAGGCAGCTTTTTATGATGGTCCGCTGACATGAGTATAAAAAGTTGGTAATCATAGTCAGGTTGGTACTAAGCGTTATAAAATTTAATATTTTATGATTAATTATTTAATAAGTATTTAGTCGAGTTACACGGAAGATTACCAACCAATAGGGTATTGACAAATTTGTGTGCGTATGTGTGCGTATTTGATAAATATGTTGAGTGTGTAAAAATGTGAAGGTAATTGAATGTGGGTCTCAATAAATATCAGAGGTCATTTAGATTTGGATTACTTAATTTCAGTATAATATATTAAGGATCGTTGGTGCTTTGTTCAATGGTTTTATTCGTGTACGTATGTAAATATTAATGAAATAAATGAACAATGTACATAACGGTTCCTGAAATGGAATAAGAAAATTAATAAGCATATATTGCAGAGACTGTATACCATTCCAAAATATAATAAACATTTACTCTATAATATTATATAAAAATCTAAATATTACTCTATGATACCCTCATACCTCAATGGATTAAACACGTTTTAAAGGAAAATTGAAATGGTTTTATTTATAAATATTCTTCTCTCATCTTCTCTTTAGTTACCTAGACTACTTAAGAAAATTCCTATATCATAGCAAAATTAAAAAAAATGTATTTATAATGAATTAATATTAGGTTACATACCTAATATTAATTCATTATAGGTATTATTTATTTATTGTACATTGTTATATTACAATTTCTTTACTAAAAGTCTTTAATAATAAGACATGTATCTATTATATAAATATAAATTAAATTCTGTGTAAATCTGCCATATGCAGTAAAAAAACGATATAAAATAATTACTATAGGTACATTGTTCTCTATGATAATTAAGACACAATTTTATACACAACTTATATTTTAAAGATTGATGTAAAATGGCATCGGAAGCCAAAAAGAAATAGATAAACATAAGACATCGATTGACAATTAATGCAAATTTTTTTGGGATCCTTAACAACAATGCTATAGCATCAAAACAAGTCCTCTTGTAATGTCTCTTATCAATAGAAAATGGAGTTTGCTCTGTGTGTAGGTATTCCATAGAATAAATTAATTAATCGATACATGGATTCATTGTCTTGTAATCACTTCTGGCCAAGCCTTGTGTAAAACAGCTCTTGTCAGTTTTTCAGCAAACGAGTAAGCCTTTGATTTCGTTTGTCAACAAACAGTAAAGCTTAATTTTCATAAATTTTAGATTGATTATGATGACTAATTAATCTTATAATGATTTAGTTATATTTCTGTAGCATAGAAAGGTAAAATTTATACATAATAATAAAATACCAGGTACGCATAAATTTTATTTAAAGACAAATTTACTTAAGTAACACGAGCTGACGATCCATTACCTTGGCCTGATATACCTGCCATATTATAATTTTGTGACAAATTATTAAGTAAATTGCTGTGAGTAGAATCTGGTGGAACCTTCAGAATAGGTGCGTACACACTCACATGCATACATTATGACTAGGAACATCCGTAATACTTGTGTAGGTACGTATGTACAGGCGTGCGCTTGTGATCATCGATGACCGAATCCGAGAAGCCGGTATATCGACATCGTATGTTTGTTCTCGCTTGACATTACGTTAGATGCTATAGAAATGTATAAAAGATTTTGACTTGAGCGGGTAACCATCAGTTGCTCATCAGGTAGCCAAGAAACTAAACCAAAAATTAAAATGAAAATTGTACGTACTCGTTTTTAATATACTTATTAAATAATATTGTAATTACTTTCTTTATTAAATCGAAATCAGTGACAATGACTTGCATTAAAGCGCATTAAGTCGAGTGTTTAGACATAAAAGTGCAATTATTTAACTAAATTTATTTATTGATGCGAAATAATTACAGATCGTAGTAGTGTTCGCTCTGGTGGCGATTGCCGTCGCTGCTCCCCCGGAACCCCCACAGATTCTACGCAGCAGCTTCGACCAGCAACCCGAGGGAGGATACGTATACAAGTAAGTGTTAATGAAAATAATTATATTGAATAGTTATTTAATTTATACGATATGTAGGATACCAATCCTAATTTGTTTTTGTTTATTGTATTTAATTTACCGTATTTTTTAACAGTTATATTTACAATTTCTTCATTTTCCCACCATTTTAGTAGATAGGTATGTGTCATGTATTTATAAAATGTACTAGCGAGGGATATTATATGATGTACCTGTGCAAATTTATTTAATTTGGTGCTTTATGCACAATAGTGTTCAATACTAAACTAGTTTCAACATTAGATATTTTTATTGACTTTTAAAATATTTATTTTTACCTCTTAACAAAGATGCAAAGTGTAGAGAGAGTAACATATTATATATCCAATTTTTCGCTATCATACTTTCATGCATGAGGTTCGATATAATATTTGAATCATGATTCTATACACATTATAAAGTTTATTGTGCTATGCCGATTATTTGCTTTAGTGGAGAAAATAAATTATTATTGAGTAAAGTCAGTATAAGGATAAGAAGTATAAGTTATACACTCAGTATAAGAAGTTGTTAATTATTATTTCCAGTTTTGAAACCGAGGATGGCATTATTCGCAATGAGAACGGCGAGTTGAAACAAGTACTCGATGAGGAGAACAAGCCCCGGAATGTGGTCATAGTTCGCGGCTCATACAGTTACACCAACCCAGAAGGAAAACCTGAGACTGTCAACTACTACGCCGATGAGACCGGCTTCCACGCTGAAGGCGACTCCATCCCGAAACCAGCAAGAAAGTAAAAAAACATCTAATATAGTCTGTGGCATAATCGTTAATTCGAAATCTTGAATAATTGATAATGCCAAATAATCTATCAATTGTGATTGATAGGAACATTCAAGGGAATTACAATGTATTAATTAATTAATAAGTATGTGCGCCGATGCATCCGTCGCATGTTCTGTTATTGCTGGTTATAATTATAACTACAAGATGCACACTGCCATATTTTTTACCTTTTTGTATGTCAATGTTTTGTTAAGTTTTTTTATATGAAAACGGTATGTAAATAAACTGATATAATTTTAAACACTGTTTTAAACTTTTTTCATGGTTGTTTACAATTGTAAGGATTATTTAGACGGATATTTATATTGGTAGCTCTTATATAATGTTATAATGGTAAATATACCATTTTCACAAAGTGTATAAGTGATATTATTATTATACTTGCTTACATTATACATTTTAATAAATATATTTGTGTTAAACTATACACGAAAATGTCATGGCGATATTTAGAAATTTACTCGAGGTACACTGTCGGTAATCTTAAAAACACGGAGTAGCCACCATAGCTATCTGGGACTAAATTTTGATAGGCATCTATTTGGAATTAATTACGAATTATATACGTTTTTCTCCAAAAGGGTTGAAAGAGGTTTAAATAAAATGTCTCCACAAGACAAAATTGCTATCAGTCATTATCTGCATGTATTACACACATATCATACTACCCACATATATATGTGGGTAGTATGATATGTGTGTGAATATTTACTTGATAATAAAAACGAAAGTAAAAACTTAAGAAATAATAACTCCAATAAACAAGTATTTTAAAATTGGCAATGTAGTGTATTTGTTACTAATAATACGTGGACCTAAATTTTTTTATGGACGATAATTGAATGGTGCACCTCCTAGTGTTTATAATTTACGCTGACGAGGGCTAGTGGAAAATGAGCATGAAGTCAGCCGGGTCTGCCTATTGTGGCTATTTCTATTACGATGATTTATGGAGCGAATAATAATCCGCGTGCAGGAAAACCTAACGGAATAAATTATTAGTAATGGGATCAGTATTCCCTATTACTAACAAATCAACCCCCCCCCCCCCATGCATTTTTCTTTTATAGCACAAGAGACAAATGAGCTTGCGGCTCACCTAATGGTAAGTGATTACCGCCGCTCATGGACAACACCAGGGGAATTGCAAGTGTGTTGCCGGCCTTTTAAGAATGAATAAGCTCTTTTCTTGAAGGTTTCTAATGTGTACCAGGCCTTCTGATAACACGTTGAATAAAAATAACACGCCTTTTTAATGATTTTTATTGATTAGTGTTTTTACGCAACAATCGGACATTCGCAGAAACGCCATATTATTAATCTCTATATAATGCAAAATCGTACTCTGTTTTGACAAATGATAATTACAGATCAATGTGTCAAACTTGACATTGACACGCGGGTGTAAATACATCACAGTTTCAATATCGTATCGGTTCGAGAACCTTGCAACAATGGTATTGCCGGAAGGTGATCTCTCAACCTATATTACTATAAGTACCATACACCTATAGTAATATATTCTTTACAATAGGTAGGTATAGAAGTCCATGTAAAGTATCTACGTGCCTAAAATATCTCATTAACTAACATGAATACGTACAAATGAACGTAAATATCTTTTGATGTCTATTATTTTAAAATGCATACACCGCTCAACGAATTTAAGATTAGTGCAAATATTGAGCATACTGAAACCCCTCCGGGTATTACTTCTTTCTACTCGCTTAGTCAGTAACTTTGAAATACCTAAATGACGCATCAGGCCAGGGGTACAAGTAAGAGATAGTAATAAATTGATAGCAGTAATAGTAATAAAATTTGATCGAAGTACGCTTTGATTAAAGTTATAGTCTACATGGGTAACTCTGTCTCACCTAATTCTGTCGTCCAGTAGGGTACTTTGTAAGCTGCTTTGATAAGACAGTGAAATTTCAGGGTACAAAGGAAAGTATCTTAATCCTTAGGAAAAATATGCATGAATAGTATGTACGGGCTGAAAGGTAAGTGTGGTATAACTGTAAACCGTCAGCGTAAACTATAGCTCAGTTTTATTATCATTCATTAAAAATCATGAAATACATGCATACTATACTAGGGATAAAAAACGAGCTTACTACTAAGAAAATATGGAGTGAATGTAATGAAACACCTCGAGTGTGGACAACATCTTCACTACATTAAGCACATCTTGGATTCACATTTATATCACTGTTTAACTAACATAGATACGATGTCCTCTTTGCAAAACAAAGTTAGAACTTTGTTTTGTATATATATATATATATAGAACAATAAACTTGAGCTATATCATAAAATAAAAAAAAAAGCCAGACGATGTGTAATTTTCTATTTATTTCATTTACTAATTTATAATATTATCCATGTTGTTAACATCATTGGTATGTAATTATTAGTTCGTAAAAATATGTATTATTGCAAATTTTTCCAAAACATTTTTTTTTACATAAACATTTTAAATGAGGAAATTACAGATTATTGTTGAACCAATGCAGTTTATCTATTTTAATGTTGACATCTTACAAACATAGGTTTTGGGTAAATAATTAGTCAGTTTTAATAATATTTGTGATAATTTATTGTACAAAAAATAAATATTCTCAATAATTTTAAAGGCTTTATCGAATATATTAACATTAATAATATATATATTATAACATACTATGTAGTATGGTATTTGAATTAATATTGTTATTGTATTGTCTTTTGCTCCTATAATAGCTCTACGTATTTAGAAGTACGAGTAAAAACTTCTAAACGAATTATTTCAACTAATTAATATTTTTTTTAACTATTAATTTTTCTTGAAACATTTCTCTGGAAACTTTGCATTCTCTCATGTTTCTGCTAATTCATTCTATTTACTTTAAGATAGGTACATATTGTATATTTTTATTTTATTTACATTGTATGTATTTATATATATTTTTAGTGATTCTTCTATGCTTTAGGTAGTAAACGTGTATACTCACCTGGTTTGCATGTTTACTACCCCGCGTTAAAGAATACAAATGTGGTGAGAACGAAGCTGGCCAAAACTAAAATTTTATGATGAACAAACATTTTCCTGTTCTTTATATGTATTTATATTGAGAAGGAAAAGTTAGTGAGGCACTGGTGAATAAAAATATAAATATAAAAAATAACAAATGAGACATATCTACCTAACAATATAATAACTTGTTGGAACAATTTTTATTGCCAATGATATAATAGAAAAAAATAAGATCAATAGGCATCCCTAACTGTGATGATTTTTATTGTACCTACGTTTATAGAAGCATACTAAAAGAAGTATATTTATTTAAATAAATAACGAAATTACCTTAAAATAATCCAGTTGCTTCTTAACTCTTTTTACAAACCACTTATTCTTACTATTTTCACAATTCGTAAATAGTATACAACATTTATATGTTTATCACATATCATTTCCTATAATTAAAAATCCTTGATTTTTAATTATAGGAAGTACCTACTTAGTTACTTGTTTAGTCATTATTATCCTCTTATTAAGATATGTGTTACTACTTTTATTACAGGTAAATAAGTAACCTACTTGCTTAATGTTCTTAATACTGTTCGTATCTATTGTACCTAGACGTTGCAGAGATGATCGCTAATGACCGAATGACGGGAGCCGGTATATCGACATCGTATGTTTGTTTCTTCTCACTTGAAATTACGTGATGCTGGAGAAATGTATAAAAGATTCTGTTTTGATCGGGCAATCATCAGTTGCTCATCGGGAAGCCAAGTAAATCAACCAAAAATAAAAATGAAACTCGTACGTTCCTTTTACTTAAATTATATTTTTTACATTACTTTAATTAATAAATAATACATTACTTTACTAAGTGTGCAATGATGGAGGAATTATTAAAAATATATAATCAAAATGTTTTGCAGTATATAAAATTTTTAATTATAAACATTATTATCAAAAAAGTTTTAATTTTATCCTATTTATAATATATCCGAGTTTTCAATATTCCAAGATAATTATATAAGATAATATTCCAAAATAAATAAATATACCCAACTTAATATCTATCTATTGTAAATTCATTACAGATCGTAGTAGTGTTCGCTTTAGTGGCGGTAGCCATCGCCGCTCCCCCGGAGCCCCCAAAGATCTTACGAAGCGATTTCGACCAGCAGCCCGAGGGAGGATACTCGTTCAAGTATGTACTTCATAATATTAAATTACCTAAATCCACGACTAGTTATTGGATATAAGTGCTATATTTGTGTTGAATATGAGATATAATGGAATAATATTTTAAAACACCGATAATTTTGAATAACGTCAAATGTATTATAATTATGAGTATACCTTATTTTTAATTGATTCTTTAAAAATTAACTAGTTTTTTTTATGGAACTGAAATGGCAAACAAGCTAACGCTCAACCTTATGGTAAGTGGTATCCGTTGCTTATATACATATACGTATATCACCATTCACATCACGTTATCATGTAACTATTTCACTATATAGGTAAATAAACTGCAATTATAATGTATCTTATTTTTTAGTTTTGAAACCGAAGATGGAATTTCTCGCAATGAGAACGGCGAGTTGAAGGAAGCTCTTGATGAAGAGAATAAACCCCATAAAGTGGTCATAGTGCGTGGTTCCTATAGCTACACCAACCCAGAAGGAAAACCTGAGACTATCAATTATTACGCTGACGAGACCGGCTTTCATGCGGAAGGCGACTCTATCCCGAAACCTGCAAGAAAGTAATAAGTTATAAATGCCGTCTCTATGCTCTGCTAGTACATTGAAATATACCTACACAATTCCGTAGTAAGTATTACTATTAAACACAACCGATTACCAAATGGTAATCGGGTGTGTTTAATAGTAGATTTGGATAATATTTCCATCAATTTATAAAGGAAATATTATTCCTACTACGTTGCTATAATTTAGGTAGGCATGTACCTTTGTGGGCACTGATATATTTTCTTACCATACATACAGTAATTTGTAATAATTTGTTGTATACTTTATACTTTTATTAATACACGCTGCCATATTTTTTGTTTAAATGTAAATAATTTGTTATTTATTTTTTGTATCAAAACAAAACTGTAAATAAAATTTGATTTTTATTATCAATTTCCTTTTTATTCTATACTCGCCTGGTTTCGCAAGATTTAATTACAAATCTTTGAATTTCTTGGATTGTTCGACACTAGATAACACGCATATATTATCCATATAAACCTTTCTTTTAAATCACTCTAACTACTGTTGAAAACCGCATTAAAATCATCGTTCTGTAATTATACATTGTACACAATATATAATACTAAGTAACAACTTGTAATAACAACTTGTCTATCAAAATTGGATACAATATATTATCCATATAAACCTTTCTTTTAAATCACTCTAACTACTGTTGAAAACCGCATTAAAATCATCGTTCTGTAATTATACATTGTACACAATATATAATACTAAGTAACAACTTGTAATAACAACTTGTCTATCAAAATTGGATACAATATATAGATGAACATAGTATACCTACATATATGTATGTATACTATGTTCATCTAGACTGAAATATTATGACATTCGGTGAAAGAATTTATTAAATAGCTTTTTCATTTCAGTACATTAATAGATAATATCAGTGTAGATAATATAATACTTCCTATATTTTTTAACGAAATATATTTTAAAAATGTATATTACTATAACTACTAACTAATACCACAAATAATAGTATTCTACTATCGAGAAAAATGCTGCTCAATGATTACTCAAATATTTACATTTTAATTAATAGGGTATCTTTGTTAAACATAGTTGTGCACTAATGTATCTATGTATTACTTTCTACCAAAAATAAAGTTATGATTAATACAAAAAAATATGGTAGGGACACGAAAATAAACCTCATACTATAGATTAAGTTTAAATTTGACACAGAAAAGTAGGGCGGAATTATTTTTTGATGTAATACTTGTACGTATTCCTTTTGTTCATTTACTATTAAAAATGTATATTATAAATTATTCTATTTTATTTAGTTATCGATGTGCAATTTAAAATTCGAATTATAATTATTTATTTCTTATGAAGTTCGTTACTTCGGTTTATTTCGTTCGATTATAATTTTATTAACATTGATATACATTTTTTAGTGATCTCGAATTGAAATCTGCGTTAATAGTATAATGCAGCAGTACTTAACGTTTAATATTTTGTAATGATTTTATATAACCATCGATTGATCCCATATGACATTGCTTATGGTAGGTCAAGGTACAAGGTCGAGCGTCTGCCTCAAGTCTATGTATTTTTAGAAGTAAACGAATATAACAAGTCTGGACTGATTAATGTTGGGAAACTCTTTTGACATTAATATGTTTAAAGTTTATATTTACTATTCTCTAATCAAATACTATAAAACAAAATTATATATATGTCGCTTAACTGTCTCTATAACTGCCACTAAAATATTTATTCCATTATAAATTAGGAATTTTAGTTACTACATATTTCGACAACAAAAAACGGACGTAGCATAAAGAATTATGTCATACTACATATCTTATGGATATCAACAAATTTTTATTTAAATGTCGTCAATTAAACAAAGGAAACAAGGTTATAATAAAAAAAACTTTATAATTCTTATTCTTTTCTGTATGTATTTTTGAAATAAGTGTATTTCTATGCTGTGTGCTATTTCTTGGGTTCCGAACAAAAAGGTAAAATGAAACTCTTACTGCGTCCGTATTTTATGTCTTTCAGTAACAACTATAGGATCATCATTGCCTTGCCTTTATCACACGTTATTTGAGGTCGGCGCAGTATGTCATTCTCTTCCACTGCTCTCTATCGGTCGTCATATTTGAGCATACTCTTCTTTTATTCATATCATCTTTCACACAATCCATATATCTTTTCTTAGGGCGTCCCTTCCCTTTACATCCATTCATTCATAAATTCATATTCACTTTCCATAAGACATGATCCTCGTTCCTCCGCATAACATGCCCATACCAGCTCAATCTGTTACATCGCAACTTTCAAGGGCTTTCGGGGCTCGCATATCGTTCCCGAGACCTGTCGCCATTTCATCCATCCTGCACTAATTCTGTGCCTTACATCACGGTCTATGTTGGCATTGTTCTGAATAACTGAACCGAGGTACCGAAAATCGGAGCAGACCGGAAGCATTACACCGTTTAGGCAGTTAAGCTTGAAACTAGAGAGGACGCCGAAATCGCAGAATAGGTATACAGTTTTAGCTCTGCTGATCTTCAAGCCAACACTCTCCAGTTTTTCTTGCCATCTATCTAGTCTACTCTGGACCTCGAGTCCATCCTCACCAACAAGCACAATATCGTCGGCAAAGAGCATATACCAGGGTACCTCGTCCTGAATGTCTGATGTCAGAGCATCCATTACAATAAGGAAGAGGTAAGGGCTTAGAGCCGAACCCTGGTGTAAGCCTACCGCCACACTGAACTTGTCGGAGGCACCTACCGCCGATCGAACGTATGTGTTAGACCGGATGTACATGGCACGTATTAGATCTACATACTTCCCTGGCACAACTTTAGTAACAACTATAGGAAAGGAGGCAAAGTTTTAGTAGTGCAGAATGGCGAAGCATGAGTGATATGGGTCTCATAAGATGATGTCATATCATATGTGGTGTATTTTATGTATACATAGGCGCCAGTTACCACATAGTAGTTTGGTTGATATACTAATTACACACAAAAAACTAGTGCAAAATAAAAAAAATGTGAAAGGTTCCGAAATCTTCGCATTGAAATAATGAAAAACTGAATTTAAATATCCAGATTATTTCTCTAATGGAAATTTAGATTTACTTGTCTCGTATGTGCTATACTGGATAGCATCCACATTGAATACCAACCTACAAAATTCTGAAATTGTGTTCGTTTTATAAACATTTAACCGGTTTTAGATAATTTGTGTGTAAAGTGACTGCTTAAAAGGGAAGATCAGGGTAAAAGTAGAGATGGATGATGGTTTCCCTGCATTACTTGCATGTTTAATAATATCGAATAGATATTACTCGAAGATACTTAAATATGAAGAAATATTTTGACTATTCATGGATAGATAAGGAGAAATAAGTGATCTAAACCTAATATCAAATAACCATTTGGTAAGAGAAGAATTTTTCAATTAATTGTAATATTTACATAATATATATATGATATTTAAATTAAGAATGTTTAGACAGAATTTTACTTATTATATATATTTAAAATATATATATATATATATATATATATATATATAAATATATTTATAGAATTTTAAATATATACATTATCTGTATAGACAATATTTTTTTTATATACTACATTAAATACACCCTATTATGCAACTTAAATATAACAAACGTTTTAAACACTAGAGACGTCGCTAAGACGACAGCTAATGAGCAAGTGACGGGAGTCGGCATATCGACATCGTATATTTGATTGTTCTCACTTGAAATTACGTTAGATGCTGGAGAAATGTATAAAAGACTCTGTTTTGACCGGATAAGTATCAGTTGCTTTATCGGTAACCAACAATCAAACACAAAAAATGAAACTCGTATGTTCTATTTAATTTGTTTGTAATTTTGAGTTTAATTTATGCATCTTAATTGTAATCACATTAAATGTTAAAATTTTTGTACATTTAATTTTCTTTTTAAATTTTATTTATATATTTCAAGATACGATACGTTATTTAATTTTATTACAGATCGTGGTAGTGTTTTCCCTGGTGGCGATCGCAATGGCCGCTCCCCCGGAGCCCCCCAAAATCCTACGCAGTGAATTCGATCAACAACCCGAGGGAGGATACTCCTATAAGTATGTAGTAATTAGCTTAAATATTTGTTGTACTAGTTAATTTTGTTTATTTGTCATTTTCTTTCGAATTAAAAAGATAGGTCGGCAAAAAAAGACAACAATTTTTTTTTATTAATAACAGTATTTTGTACTCGCCTGCGCTAACGGTTTGCAGCTGACGGGGCATCAGTGGAGGATTTAGACATAAATAACGAGGTCAGGTCAGAAATCACAATGGTTTCCACGGGGAACCGCGTTGGGATTAACTTGATATGGTACAAAAATGGGTTTATTAGTACATGAATTTCACCCCATTTTTCACTTTAATAACTAAAATTCATATTCAATGAATAAATATTGTTTCTGTTTTCAGCTTTGAAACCGAAGATGGAATATCTCGCAACGAGAACGGTGAGTTGAAGGAAGCTCTTGATGAGGAGAATAAGCCCCATAACGTGGTCGTAGTACGTGGTTCCTATAGCTACACCAACCCAGAAGGAAAACCTGAGACTATCAATTATTACGCTGACGAGACCGGCTTTCATGCGGAGGGTGATTCTATTCCGAAACCTGTAAGAAAGTGAACAGGAAATGTGATTTCAATTGTCTAGATTACAGATAATATTCGACTAGTCAGTTATTAATTAATTTAAGGAAATCTTAAAGTTTTGTATGCATGTTATATGTATTGAGTTCACATATAATATGCATATGAATTTAATTAGAATTGACAACAGAAGACATCTCAGTCGAAATGGAGCGCTGGCCAATTTTATTTAATATGCGTGCTTAAAGTTATAGTACAATAGGCATAAATTCGTATATGTCTACGTTCCTGTTGTATTTTTATTAATTTATAATTTTAATTGTTATTATATTGGCATGCATATATGTAGTTGTATATTTTTTACATTTTTATACATTATAATAAACAATTTTATAACAATTTTTCAGTTTGTTATTTTTAACTAGAACTAAATTACAAGGAACTGTACAAAGTCTGTTTATGTTATATACCTCTGATTCAATGATTATAACATATTGCTTGCTACCCACTCCGGCTTCGCACGGGTGTACATGTATTAATACATATAAATTTTGTTCTAGAACAACTCTATCTAATTAAAATTTTAATTTAAATTAGATAGAGTGGTTCTAGAGCAAAATTATAGAGTAGAGTAGATAAATAGAGTAAAATAAAAAAAAACGGTTCAAAATCCGTTGACTTGTTTTAAAGATTTAAGTATACACAGACAGCGACAGCGACTTTATTTTATACTATGTAATGATTACCAAGCAGCTGACTTTCTAAGGTCTGTTTCGATTGAAGGTGAAAAAAGAGAATAAGATTACAGGGTAACCAGGAATTTTACTGTCCTCCGGAATAATGGTACCATGGGCGCCATATGATAAAGCAATGTAAATAGTATTATTAATGTATATATAATAGATGAACTTGCTATCAAATGGGCTGAAATGTTATTTCCTATGCCAGTTACATAAAAATAAAAAAGGTGAATTTATTTATGATGTATTTTTTATTTAATCGAACATGTGGAAGTCATAAAATTCAATCAACATTTAGGACTATCTTAGTGACTAATAACTATAACATATAACATCTTACAATTGAAATGTGCTGACATAATATTGCGATGGGGTCATTTTTGTATAATTGAGAATATTATTGTTACTGGTATACCATATAGATCGCATGAAAGCCGAGTCGCACACAATTTTCCTAATTTCATAATATACTTTTGTTTTTACTGATGCTCCGTCAACAAACACCATTAGAACATTCCAAGAATATTCTTTAGTTGCTTAGACACTGCATTCATTGACACCACCGCAGTGTACCGGTGTACCGTTTCTCTTCTGGCTCTCTCTTTTGTCTGGGTGTAGTTTGTTTAAATTATGTTTATATTTATATAAAAAGTATCTGTTGGAAATAACTTTTCATATCCATAAAACAAGTTGTGTACGGTGCAAATTGTCCTTTCTTATCAATTATTTCTATATTTAATCAAAAGTTTTGTTTCTAGACTTTGTGCTGCACATTCTGTAAATATCTTTACGTACTTGCCATGATATATATTCCAAACAACAAATTACAACTCAGCCTCAACTTTACGATTTAAAATGTCTGCGATCGTGGGAGACTGACTACGCGGATCTGAAAAAACAACCTTGTTTTAAATATAGTGATTATATACTTCGTTCGAACAATAATAAATTCAGTTCTAAGATATTATTATTTGACAACGTCTTGATGATATAATCATCTTCTGGATATAAAGTCGTAGGTCACAATCCAAATGCAAAGACTACATTAAATTACTTAATAAAAATATTATTAGCCACTTCTTATTATAGTATCTGAAAAAAAATAGATATATTATGCCAATTAATTTAGTATTGTGACTTTAAAAATGGTTTTAAAATCGTCTTGCAAATATTAACGACACATTTTATTTGTCCTCCATTCCATGTATAAATTTTGTTATTATTTTTAAATAAGATTATTAACGAAATATTTCTGCTGTACTTTGTTTCACACTTTCTAATAATATTAATTTCGCTAAAGCATTGAATATCGTGGGAAAGCTAGTATAGTAACATTCTGACAGTTACTGAACTGGTGGAGAGAATTGTTGTAAAGGAAGTTTCTACATCCATCGCTAGTAATGGATAAAAGCGGAGCCTGACGCCTGACCCTTTAACAAAATTATCCCTTGAACGCTTCACTACGGCCAGATTGCTTATTTGATCGATAGAACAAGATTTTCTTGTTTCCTAAAATCTTAAAGCTTTACGACTTAAAACTTTCTCTGTAGCTGACAGTCGATTTATAGATAGTACGAAATAAAGATTTCAGTGTTTGGATATGTCTAATGATGTATGTAATACACATAATTAGATATACCTAGGGTTCAAAAATCATCGCATCAATTGTGATATTAATAACTACCTAAAGTTGTGAATATCTCAATTGATCAAGTGACGTAATTCCATCCTTTATTTTATTTATTTATTTTAATTAGGAAACTTAATGTAATATAGGTACCGTAAGCGTATATAAGTACCTACCTAACACACGTGGGATTACTTGAGACATGAAATTATTACGAACGATATTCTTTGAACTTACAATTAAATATTCTTTTTGATAATAATTTTGGCTAATAATTAATGTGACAAACAATCAAAGACGTGACAAGTTCATGGAAATGAGGTCATAATTACACTGGTATCGTATTTTTACTGATTATTTCATTCATATTTGCATTAAGTAACAATAATGGAAAAATTTGCATATTTTGTTTAAAAGTAGTAAATATATATTATATTATTTTTAAATGATTATGAATAATAAATTTGCTAATGATTAAAGCAATAGTTGCAGTCTTTACATGAACATCCGTGGTCATTCGTATCGTGGAGGTTATGATATGTATAATAGGTCACTAGTTCTTTACATCGTCCTAATGAAGGTATAAATGATTAAGGTCTCCTCATAAAGTAATATTATTGCTAGTATAATTATTTTATGACGATATCTATATAGTTCATATTAAAACCATTATATCTATCACAAAACAGACGAATGTATCAAAACGCTATATATTTTTTGCATTGAGTGCTTCGTGTTGGTTCCATATATATTTTATAATAGAATTGATATTCAGATTTTATGAAGTAAATACTGTTACTTGTTTTTATTGTTAGTTTTGAAATTTGTTTAAAATTATCACAGAAATCATTGTTTAGGTCTAATGATTGATTTGTTACTAAAATTACCTAATATATAACACGAAAACAGTGTACATTCTTCATTTTAGCTATGTATATAAGTATATTGGTGGTTTTAAGGTGACTCAAAAAGATATTTGTTAGCATAAGGAGGTTTAAATTACATTTTGTAGTTAAGGTATCCGAGATGAGAGAAAAAGCTTGTATACAAAATTGAAGACAGAACCCGCAACTATAGGTGTGGTGACCTACCATAGTACCTACACCATCGTGTTCATCATATTTAAATTCTGTGAATTAATTATAAATGTTTGAGTAGTAGTCTATGGAATTATAAGTTACGAATAAATCATTGAGAATGATTGGAGGTTATAAAAATGTGATAGATGCTGTACGAACCTTGTACTTTGGGAATCAAGATTTATGACTTGATAGAACCGGAATAAATATGTTGTCTAGGCTATAATTATGTATGTAGGTATGCATAAGTTAGGTGCCATGATAGGTAAATTAGAATCTTTTTTATTTTTTAATCACTTCACTTAGCGCGATAAATGCATTTTCTAATTATCCATGTAAAGAAATATTCCTTAGATATCTACTAATTGTATCGAAAATATTTTAATGTTTGTGTATATCTAATAAAGTTATTAATATACTGTAGTATTTGGTGATAGGTATCTTCATTCCAAAAACAAAACCTGCTAAATTCCTTTAGATCTAAAATTTGCACTACATTTCTTTCTTAGTAGTGGCATATGATTGAACGTAATGAAGTATGATAGCAGTTAATTATGTTAATTTCTTTATTATTTGTTTTGTTGTGGTAGAAGTACCTAATATGTTTCTTTAGATTTAGTTTATTGTATAACAATGTTGCATATTATAAAGTTGCCAAATCATTTATTTTAATACTAATAATAATAATCTCAGGACAATTCACACAGACCCATCTAGTTCCAAGTTAAGCTAGCTAAGGCTTGTGTTATGGGTACTAGATAACTGTTAAAATACATAGATTTTTTTATACAAACAATTATACTCATGAATACAAATATCACTGCCGTGCGAGGAATCGTAACCGCGACCAACGGAAGCAAGACGGTGTGCTAAACCGCTAGACCATCGAGGCCGTCTAATGAAAACTACGTATTCTAATATTCTAACTTCTATTTAAAATATATAACAATCTTGTTTTGAGATAAGATGCCTATTCTACTTACATACATAAGTACTAATACGGGTTTTGGTACACAGTCTACTAAGCCTTTATCATGTTAGCAAGTTAAAATTTGTCAACATTATGACACGTACTTTTATCGACGAAATCTTTACCTTTAGTAGGTATTATATATTACATTAATGAGTGAGATAAAAACAATATATTATTATATAATAACGGCCATATAATAGATGTAGTAACAACATTCTACATCATTTCTATGGACAATTGACATTGTTTTGTATTATCGTAGATAAAATAACGAACCATAGCTGAGAAAAAATAACAGGCATAACGCAATACCTCCGTTCTAATGTAACTTAATTAATATTTTACACACAAAAAGTCAATTATGAATTTATAATGATACAAATAGACCGCTACTTAGTTAAAAATATGTGTGTTATTTAGCTGCTCTGAAGTTTAATTGTCTATTAGATATATATCTTTGTTCTCTACCGAGTGTCGAGAAAAATAGGCTATTGTCATTCTGTACGAATAATAAATAGGATTGGATGCTATATGAGATCTAAATTATAGATATATCTGCCAAAAAAACTACAAGTTTAGTACTAGCTTTGCTCAGTTTGATACTAGATGGCGCTGACGCTGAATTGATCTCCCAAAGTTGGAGTTGAGAAAATTAGCTGGGTTATTATAATTTAGCATATTCACCACTATTTAAAATGCCTGCTAAATCTAACCTTAAGTTGACGGAGTAAGAATATAAAGTATATTACCATTAATATCGTAAGTCAGTATGGTATTATTAGTCTGAATCTCTTAAGATTGATCTATTAAAAATATAATGAAAAAATAAGAAGAATTTTCCTACATTTATTCTACTTTCTAACTTCTAAAATCTCTTGAGTCGACTTACTTACCTATTCTAAACCCAATTCCCGACGCCACAGAGGCCACTAAGAACACTGTCATTGCGATCAACTAATCACCTGCAGTTAGTCAAGGTCTGCTTCAAGAAAGTACCAGCGACGGATAACTGCCACTGAAAACTCTCTGATGACGTAAGGACGTTAACGAGCAAAATGAATGCAGCCACTAGAGTATACGACGTCTACTCCGAACTCTGAACTGAACGTGAAAGAAGGAAGGAAACTTCTAGAAGAAATTACGCAATAGCATACAATTATAACGAAATCTCTCAAAAAAAGACCAACAAACAAACGATATGCCCGCACTAGTCCGACCTGATAACTCTATAGCTATCTAGAAGTTCAATGCTCACCAGTCATTATCGTATGTCATCAGTCATTTTATCTCGAGAAGATGGACACCGAAGTCAACCTGATCACGTCCATCTTGCCAAATGAATCTCTCTCACCAGTCACATTTGATGAGGTACAAACATTAGTTTCGTATCTAACGTGACACCGAGGTACTTCGTGTGAGAAACCCACGGGATGGTTTGGCCGAACAGTCCGATCGGATGAGTCATAGAGTCATGTTACCTATTGTACTTTAGCAGGGAATATGACTCATTTGCACTTTTTTCGGGATTTACTTCTATGCGTCACGACCAAATCACTTGCCCAGTATGAGAACAGCTTTATAAGCCGTTATTATGATATATACCAATATTTTGTAGGATTTTTCAGATGTAATAGAGCAGTGTCATTTGCGAGGAGCAATGTTTCGACTTTTAAGTTAATTTCTGGTTGTCATTAGTGTACAGTGAGTACAGCATTGGGAAGGGCACGATGTCATTAGGGTCGCCGGCTCATATGGGGTGTGGATAGGATAACGCTCCGTTTATACGATAGCGATAGAAGTGGTTTGACAGGAAGTCTTGTATGACGAGCATTTTCGCGATCGAGCCTCCTTTGTGCTAGGGCGACTCTACCCCTTCCTTAACAAGCATTATTAAATGTCGCTTCGTAACAAGCTGTCCTTATACAAGGCTTATCCGTCTCATTCTCACGTAACTCCTTGTCATCTATAAATTGTTCTTTCATCGAGCCACTGGCGCGTCGTAGTTCGTTCGCAATATGGATATCTACCGAAGGAAGCGTCTCGTCGCTATTTCCACTCCTACCAATTTCGTCCGAACCAGCTCATAGTAAGGATGGTCGACTATGCACTGAGGAAACATATCTTTACGTAACAATATCCTATCCCATATCGTTCGGCGAAACTATAACGGCTAGGTGCAGTCGTTATAGTTTCGGTTATAGGTCTCTCTTATGATGTTGAGTTTGGCAAACAGCTTAATAGGCATAACAAATACAGGACTGGGTGATACAGAGATCCACGTGGGCGAGCCAAGGAATTTCCGCCCAGTCTTCCTTAAGTATTGCTAAATATTTAAACGATTACAAAACAGCAGGTAAAGTAATGAGTCATGAAGTATCGTGGATGTGTTGATACCACATCGCTTTCAGTCTAATTCACCAGTTTTAGAAACGATTGTTTTGGTCATGTTGAAATGTCAGTAAGTAACCTAACAAAGATGTTTGCACTAAGCGGTTATGCATCCCCATTTATCCATCTCAGTAATAGACCACCGACTCAGATGTTTCTGCAACATAATTGTAAGTAATATGCCGTACCGATATAGCATTTACAGTAATTTTGGGTTGAAATTGTTTAGTGGTTTCATTTCATCGATGAATCGTGTTGTACAAGTTTTGAATATATGTATAACACGGTTAATGACATGTGGTGGGTAAAAGGGCCGTGAATAAGGCGCACGTTTGAACGATGGCATAACAAAAAATATCAGCACAAAGCAACCCTGCTACCTATAAATGGAATATTCGGATCTCACGCTAACAGTAGTACATTGAATACAACGTGTGCAGTCGGGTTTGGCAGAAGCAGTACAATAAGGTAAATAATAAATAATTAAAAGTGATATGAATAGTGAAGTTGTTAAAAGAGGTGTTGTAGTTGTGACAAAATACAGAAAGAAATATACATATGTATGTCATAAGTAAGTTCTCTGGATTTGGATCTTATACAAAAAGTTCAGGTAATACTACTACCATGTAGTACCAGGTAAGGCTACTACCGTGTAGGTACGTCCACTGAGATTGCGACAATTGAAGTGTATTTTCTTTGTCTAACAAAGTTTTAATTTATAATCTTGTACATTTTTTTGGAGATTCCCGTAATTATTTCAACGAGATAATTATATAGACACGTAACATAATGTAGATAATTAGTTATATAGATAACCTATGTTAAGTAGTATAAACTATAGAATTACCACACTATTCAATAACCAATGTACAAATAAACATTATAGTTATATATTCATATTTATTCATAAAAATATTTTTCTTTTTCATATTTCTCGAAAAAGATATATACTCGTTATATTATTATAAGCTTATTTGCATGAAGCACAGTCCTGTGCTTTAAGCACCTCCGTGCATTAGCCTTTCTCATTTACTTTTGAGCACAGAATACATAATAAGTAGTTTCATAATACTAATTATGTACTTTGTCTCAGAGAAAACATAATTAAAAATTGAAATTGAAAATATTATTGTAATAATTATATATTTCATTTCAACTAAATCAATATATAATAGATCTAAATTTCAAAGTCCAATTTAAATATATTTATATGTGTTCAGTGCAAGAAATGAAGAAATAATTATTAAGTTCTACATTTATTAAGTAATTCTAAAATCTAAATTAATCTCTCAAAAATATTAAAATCTAAATCAAATAACAAAAATATTACATATATCTCAATAATCAACAAAATGTTAGATGGGAGTTTTGTTTCACCTGCTTTTATGATTCGGATTACTACTATTGAGGTTGATAAATTAGACTTCAATAGGCTATATGTAATGTAAGATAAAGCATGATGAAAAAACTGTAATAAAATCTACATAGAATATCTATATATCATAATTGGTACATTGTTATAAAAAAATCTCTTAAATTGTACTAGTGGCTTCTGTTGTTCTTTGTAAACAATAACAAAATAGGTACATAATTGAATATGAATGACCCGTAATCTGGGAATAGTTGAATTAATTTTGAATTCATAAAAAAATATGGTTTACCGAACCAGTAACCAACAGTAGTATCAAAAATACACAAATCAAGTTTATTATTTTTAAAGCTATATTTTTTTCTAGTTTAATTAGTTGAAGTCGTTGGATAGTTGGTTTATTGTTGTACATGCAGTAGAATTTATTGTAATGTTAGTGAAAAAATATAATCACTAATTCCCATATTCGTATAAATTGAACCTGCTACAAACTTTCAGTTTTATTATTTTTCCAAATTTAAAAAATAGGTTGAAGAAATAAAACAAAATTACTTATTGGAGATTTCACATTTTGTATGTATTGAGGGGTAATTTTGTAGTGCTTAACATAACAATAATGTTTATAATCTTTCGCAGATGAATCGTGTAATATATTGCGTGTTGCTCTTCTGTGCACTATCGTCCGCGCGGTCACCGATCACGCCCACACAGTCTCCGTATGGCCCGGCAGCAGCAGGCGGAATTATTCCATCTGTAACCTCCACTACCTACCCCTTACTACCTAGTACTATCCCACCGGGATATAAGAACCCCTATTATCCTTACAATCCAACTGTAGGACCTGCCATACCGATTTTATCATTTACGAATGATCACGGTGCTGCCGGGACGTATTCTTACAGGTAATATGAAATGTAGATCGCCTATTTCTCATACAAATTCTTTCTTATTATAGATACCTATCTAGCAGAAGCTAGAGATATATTTATGAAATTATTTAACCTAATACCAATCATGATCACCAACCAATCATCATGCCAATCATATGATACAAAATAGAATTCAGGGGAGGTAAAAAATTAATTATGAAATGAAATTACGAAACAAATTCAGAACTTTATTGTTTATATTATTATTAAATATTGAAATAGATATACATATTTATAATAATTAAGCTTTATAAATTAAATTAACAAGTCAATTTTGTTTGGGAAAATCCAAGAATAGTTTTTACGGAACACATAAAAACTTCATTGTTCATGAGAAGTTCATAATTATGTATAATAGTAATATACAATATTAACTATCGTGTACTACTCGGAATGTTTTAATTTTGAATTTATGTATCGCAATGAATATTTATGCAACAAGACATTGTTGATTTACAAACTTATTAATTACATTAAAACAGACATATGAGTACAGTTTTAAATATAATAATAATATTGAACTTAATATTATTCTTTACATTGATGTAACTATAGATATAGTTTTTGTATAGGTACTTTATTATGAATTTAACAAAAAATGAGATTAGGCTTAGGTCCGAACTCGATATTATGATCAAGCAATAGTGTAAACAATTTAAATTATTAATAAAGAACCCAACGTTTTCGATAAGAGACGGATGGCTCATGCCGACGAAGCCGTAGTATTGGCGCTCTCTTTTGGAATGCACCAATCGAACTGCGTCGTCGCGCGTCGGCACGGTTCGTTCGGACTGAATCTAATACTAAGATCCTGGTCATACACACATTTAATCATAAATTACGATTACATAATATAATATTCGCAATAAAAATGCCATACATATTTTAGTTTTAGTACTGCTGATGGCAAACAAGTCCAAGAGAGCGGGTATTTAAAGGATTCTTATATTGACAATGCCGGGGAACCACAAGGAACACAGGTTTGCATTTTAAAATATTTGTACAAAGTAAATAAGACCACTTTATCTATATACACAGCATTTTACCTGAACAGGCCTCTTGTAGCTTTTGCAGCTAAAATGACAAGCAAATATTTTAAACAACTTTAAAGAGTTTTGTACTGAATAACTGCATGTTTACAATAAAAAAAATCTTTTACAATCTTATCTATCTTTTAGAATAAATAATATTTAACTATTTGTGTAATAGTAAACTTATAATTTACAGGTTGTTCAAGGAAGCTATTCTTATATTGCCCCTGATGGTACACCCATACAAGTTAGCTATATTGCTGATGAAAATGGTAAATAATTTAAATTCTATATTTTTCTCAAAATTTTATTGATAAGCTTAATTGTGGGTTATAATGAGGGACTAAAAATTCTGTTTTATGACATATTAAAATTTCTTTGTATAAGTTGCAAAATGATGGCCCGTAAATATTATGCTTTTAAAGTTAGAGATCTATTAAATCGATTTAGTTATATAAAAGACCTAGTATCATTCGTAACTTATTATACGTAAGTAAGGTAAAGTATTTTTATGAATATCACAATAAATTTACAGGAATAATTTAATTACACAAATTTTTACATTACAGGTTTTCGACCATCTGGAGTTCACTTTCCAGCTGATCGAAAGACATTACCAACTCTTGCTCCCTTTGTAGACGGAAAGATCGATCCAGTGGCAGATCGATATAACCCATTCTATAACAATCATTTCAATCGGCCCTATGACCATCGGTATCCTTATGATCCCAGATATCCCTCTTACAATTCTAGGTACCCTTACGATCCAAGGAAGTACAATCCTTATTACAATAATTACAATCCATTCAATCCTTCCTTAAATCCGGGCTTGAATTCCGTTCTCTCCACACTGAGTCCAACTCTGAGCACCACTGAGCACCACACCAATGCAGTTAATAAAATAACAAACAAAAAGGAATCTGTATAATATTTGCCATATCTTAATTGTGAAATATTTGTATTGGTATAGAATAATTATAATTGAAAATTTACTTTATGTAATTATGATTGAATAAATGCAATTGCCATTTTATATAAAAAATTTTTATTAACTTGATAATTCTATTAACATGATGATCCAATGTTTGCTGAAAAAGTCGCATTTCTTTATATATTTATTTATACATGAAATAGCTGATTTCATGTTTATTGAAAATATGAAATAGCTGATGTATAAATAAATAAAATGATGAAAAGTACTGTTATTAGGTACCTATTACAAATATAGAAACTCCTCATAAAATATTATTAATATTTCTGAGAAACTAAATTATAGGTTTAATTGTTTTTAATATGCAGATTTCCATATCTTATTATATAAATATATGTCTAATGCATCTGTATCTTTGTTTATCTATTTGTTATGTTTTCACTACTAAACGGTTGCACTGATTTTAATGAAATTTTATGTGAAGATAGATTATATCAAGAGTACGTACCTAATTAGATAAAATAAGAGAAACAAAAATTATCAAGAAACGCATATAAAACTGAATATTAAAAATCAAAGTAGATTATTCGAAATACCAATTATAAGTAGACGAAGACACGGGTATCTTGTAGTATATTTATACATTTAGCAATATACGACACCACAGACATATTGCAAAATTAGTAATTAATTCTTACAATATTCATTCATATTCATCTGTATTATTTAATTCATAATACATTGGCGACTAACTGGGACATTAGTAATTATTCATATTACTTTGTCTTAACATTAATAAAAGGTTTTTCTCTTTGCATAAAGTATTAATGGTAACTTTAGCCGTAATAAATTTTTTTAGACTACTTTTACATATTTGTAATGCCAAGCAAGGTACATACGGTGGTAAATGGTGATCGTCTTCAATATGAATGAATGGACATCACATCATGATGTGACGTATGTGGTACAAGTTGTACCGTTTCCTTCAAGGAATCCGTGGACAATACGGAGAAATAAGGTGTCATGCCTCCGTCCTATAATTTCACTGCCTTATGTCGCCAACAGATAACATCTTATCTTATTTGAAATACATTAATTTGCGTGGATACGTAATGTCTCTCAATATGTATCCACGCAAATTAATGTATATCTCGGTAATGTTTAGTCTAGGAAATAATAATGCAATTCAACACCTAATACGATCAGACTAAGCAAGTTGGGACAACGTAGTACTCGAATAAACATCAATTACAAAAAATAGTTTTATGCATAATAAAAAAAACATCATCATCATCTGCGACTCATTGTAGAGATGCAAGGTCACATAATCGATAAATTCGTCGCGTATCTTAAGTTTCTTTAAATATAATTATTATTAATACGTACCTACTGTAGTCCTTTGTGATATTGTTGCGTAGAAGTACATTACGTAAGTACCAATATCCCATCCAATAGCCGTAGGGCACGTATTAATAAATTTGGCACTGGAAATAAATAGCCGAAACATTTAACCAATGTCGACACTATAAGAAATTGTGAGATGATCACAATTGAAAATAAGTAATGATGGATATTTGCTTAGATATTAATATTGTAGTATAACAGTGGCCATCCAGATAAAGAAAAGCTCCGGTGAATATGTGGTATAATAATTACTGTCGCCGTACTATGTCAAAATACACATAATCAAAAACAGCATTTTAATGTGACAGAAAGTTGATATCTCACTTCCAACTTCCCATCTACTTGATTTAATACTGCATGATCCATCCTACATATAGTAGCTTGTATCACAAATACGCTAACATATATATGGATCATGAAACATACTAATGTGAATCCTAAATAATTAATTTGATACTACTGTCATAAAATACAATGAAAGTAATAGATGGGTTTACATTCACAGTACAATACTTTATACTGAAAACTTATTAGATATCATATATCCACCGAGTCACGTATCCACTTTATTATTAAATGACTGCTGGTACTTTCTTTTATTTGTATTATTGTTAATGTAATAATACGTAGGTGCAGAGATTTTACAATTTTTAATTTTTTACTTTGTCAACTTTGTATCCATACAAATTAGGTAGTTATTTGTTTGTTGCAGTTTACAAGTGCTATAGTCATGTATGGTTATATTATAACAGTTTCTGGGACTTCTTATACTGTCTTTAGTCATGAATATACCCATAAAATGCATAAAGAATCTGCAACGATGCGTAATTGCAACAAAAATTTTCGTATAAATACGATGGGGTGGATCCAAGGAGCATCATATCTCAGTATACTTTTGTAAGCCGCCTTGCAACTTTAGTTCAATATGAAGTGCATTATAGTAAGTGACATATATATTATTTAGTACATAATTTGCAAAACATCTTATATTTTTTTATTTAGATGTTTGAGAAAGTAATTGTTAATCTTTAATTTACACATTACTACAAAATATGATTAAAGTGTGATGTAATATTATTATTATTGAAGTAGTTAATAATTATGTACTGCTTTATCTTTACTGTGTAACTTCGTGTGTTATTTATTTTTCCAAGTAAAATCCATAATAAAACAATAAGTCAATGCATGTAGAGACTTCACTTTTCATTCAGATTTTTGTTATTTTATGCTTAAATATGCTTGAAAACGTATGTTTACAACAAAAAATACTACCCCATCTGGGATTACAGTCGTGATAATATGTAGTAACATACATATAAATCGCACGAAAATAAGTATATAGACAGAACAATGTATATTTCTATTTTAATATGTTTATATTTAATTGAAATAAACCATTAATGTTCCGTTCTGTGGATATCGTCTTTCTAGATTGACAACTTTTTTGCTTTAATGTTAGATCATGCATTAGTAGCTGCAAAAGAAAAAACGATTCAGAAAATTCTGTTGACCTTTCAACCAGCGACATTTACCATTTAACATAAGAAAAACTATAGGTTGCTGTTTTTGATTTTTTGCCAAGACTTATATGTCACGTTTTTGTGTAATTTGAATATCAAACAAGTTAACCGCCCATCTGATCGCAAGTAATAACAGACAACCTATACAGGAACAGCATAGCATATCTATATGTATGAATAGCTTGCTCTACGGATATTCGGTTGCTATTCGGAAATATTCATAAATATATGAGATATCTACGGTATCTTTATATATAAAGATTACCAATGGTAAAAAATGATGACATAGTCGTTCTATATTAATGTGTTCGTCATATAACATCGTGTGATTTACCATTTGTTTGCTGTTTCAGGTGTATAATAAAAATGAAATATACAGTACGTAAATGCACGTAACCCTTAAGTTATAATTAGGATAGCAAAAAATATTTACCTTCTATGCCTAATGAAATAGACACATATTGCGTAGTCTTCATTAATGACTATTAATAATTCACAAGGTGGATAAAGTTACTCATAATTTATTCACAAGAATTTCTTGTTATTGATCGAAGGAAACGACATTTTAAGAATAGTCATATAATGTTGTCTACTTATAGAAATATCTTATATCACCTCACCTTATTAGGTACTGTCTTATTAAGTAGTTTTTAATGAAATTTTGTTATTGGTAATTGAAAATCCTCGTTTGTTTTTGTTGCCAACTATTTCAATGACGCCTCAACAGTATTACTTACTTGGTTTTCCCGACGACATTTACTCAGATTACATACTCGTAGTTCTTCTAAAAACAATAGTTATTTCACAAACTCAGATTTTAATCCTACTGTATGTCATTGTAATAATTTAAATGAATAAAATCAAAACTGTGATTTTAGAAGGCACAAATGCCTTCTGAAATGATTTGAAATGATTTATTTATTTATTTATTTTAGGTAATTAACAGCTTATACAATTTATAGACAATATATAGTATTACATAGTTAGTAAAGCCAATAACAGATACCTCATGAATTTATCTTTAATATTAAAGTTATATTTAAATTGGTTATTTAAAAACAATACAGTTATACATTTAAACATTTAAATGGATCAGAACCAAAGATAAAGAACAGGTAAGGGTAAGTACAATTAGTAAATCACGTTACAATATAATGCATAAAGTCATCCATATGTACGTACTGTATGTGTATAAAAATGTGTTTCTCTGTCAGTTAAAAAGTATCATCTTGACATTCTAAGTGCTTGCTATAAATATTTATTACTAATAGGTGGAAAACTTTACGGACGTTCAATTGAAGGGTTTTCAGATTTTCTAGTGAACAATATGTTTTGATAAAGTGATGATGAAGAAAATAGATATCGGGCTATTCTAATGCTGTTGGCCGCAGCTGGCCTTTACAGCTTCATCGGATGATAGAAGGTGAGTGCAGATGACAATCCAAACACACGGAAGGACTTATGGAACGGCTGAACGCCAACTCCTGCCTAACGAATACGATTTTAGTCTGAGGGTACTGCTAGGGGTAGACAGTAGTAGTAGGTAACCTCGACTCAGACCGTCGAAATTTCAATTCCTTTTTGAATTGAATAGAGGAAATAAAGACTAGTGCATTTTATTGTATTTTTTAATTCCCTTCGTCTGTACCTCATTCATTGTGTTGATATAGAAATGGACGAAATTTCTATATCGACACAATAAACGACGTACCCGATCTGTTTATGTTTACCCCATTTGTTTCAGTTTGTACTGGTTGTAACGTTTGGGAGCGCATTGGCTGACGTAAGCGATTTCCAGGCATTCCCACCGCGTCCACGTCCCCAAGTGTCTCCGTACCCACGTCCTGGTCGAGAAGAACAGACTACCACGGAACCAATACCTATAATTCGACAGGAGCAAATCATTAACCCGGATGGCTCTTATAAATGGAGGTCAGTTTTTTTTAAATTAATTATTGAATAACTATGATATATTTGTTACTTAATTGGAATAGCAAATACCCACTAATTATAAGCAGTTATTGTCGCCTAGGTACATAAATAGCACTAACATCATCATGCTGTGATATTACTCATAATGCATGAGCGATTCCAGAGGATCAAAGTAGCATGGCTCGTAACCTGTAATTTCACTACCTAATAGAACTTAAACAGGATAAATAAGTATTGATTACGTCAGTGAATTGTAAAACAAATAAAAATATAAAATAATGATTATAGCTATGAGACTGGTAATGGAATATCAGCAGAAGAGCAAGGTTATGTTAAGAATCTGGGAGTGCCTGATCAAGAGGCACAGACTGCGCAGGGACAGTATTCATACACCGCACCAGATGGACAGGTATATTTTATTCAAACACTTGCTACCAGTTTAGTTTATTTAGCATTATTTTTATAACTATATTACACCTACTATTATTTTATTATTTTTGAAAATTTAAAACTAAGTTATTATTTAGAAAATCCACAATTCTAATTTCATTAATTATGAAATTTCTACAATAATAAAAAATGTCCGTCATATTTTATCATCGTCAGTAACGTAAATTCTAAGCCTGTCCTGAGAAATAAGTAGGTGACATTGATAATTAATATTCTTTTACTAGTTAAACATGCATACTCTCAGCAATGGAACGCCAATGAGTTTTTTACAGTACTAGTGATAATGACGACAGGAATAATTTAAATAATGTCATTGTTTCAGTTAATTCAGTTGCAGTACTTAGCTGACGAGAATGGATTTCAACCGCAAGGTGCACATCTTCCTACTCCTCCCCCTATTCCGGCAGAGATTCAAAAGGCTTTAGAATATCTAGCTACTTTACCACCAAGTAACGAACAACCTCACGATCAGCATAGACATAGAGACTTGCAGGTTTTCTAAACTTGACTTCCAAAAATTTAAATGGTATTAGTTAACCTAAAAACCCGAGGCTCACAGATCTTCAAATATGAAATTAATTAAAAAATATACATTTATAAGTTATTTAATAAGCTGTTGTGATAAAAGATATGGTAAATAAAAAAGTATACTCATAATTTTATAAAACTAATGTAGTTAAGTAGTTACTTTTGAATTGTTGTAATTTAATAATATTAAATATATACATTGATGTTCTTTATAACGTGTATTATTCCTCTCTATTTATTGTAAACAGCAACGCAGACAGACATTAATTATGTTGTACAAAATCAAGTACAATGTCGTAATATAATAATATAAATTGTAACGTTAGGATAGTTAACCTTGTTAGTTTGAATAATGACAGTGGTTGCCGGTGTTAACAATTATGGGTTCGCAAGTTGTCAAAATTAATTGCAGAGACGGTGCATACACGCGTTTTTGCGGACACCTACGAGTACTTATCTCCGAACAACTGAAGAGCGACCGGCACCCGACCCCGAGTTGCTTAACAACCAGTCAGTTCACTTTCGCCGCACCACGCGTGTCAAGGTCGCACGACCATCACATACCCATAAACTTCACATACCTCATTTACGCGGACATGAAATATATGGCGATAATTTAATAAACATTACCATTTAACGCCTGCATATAGCAATAGATGAAATATGTATCAATCGTCGTTAAAAGATAATCATAGTATTCTAGACTTAGTAATGATTTTTTATTCCATTCATTTATATGGTTATGACATATATTTAAAGTTTTTTTTTAATGTTACGTTTGATTTTGTTTAGCCCGTAGAGTTTGATTATCATATCTGTGATCATATTTAAAACATAAAGACATTCCGGTTGTAATGTGGTAGGATATGTTCTTGCAATTATATGTTTATTATAATATTGTTAATATGATATTATTGATAAGAAATTATTGTTGTAATGTTACAATAATATATAATTCTTTTGATTCTGAACAATTGAAGATAGGCAGAGGAATGAATCGAGAGATGTTAGTATGGTATTTCTAAAAGTAAATTTCACATGGGCATGAAAAAGTAGCCTTTTTTTAGTTTCTAAAAGACGTACATATTTTTATCTTGTACCAATATTGGGAGTAAAGTATAAAATAAAGTAATAGCGCTACGGGGCTGATCGGGAAGTGAACAAAGTAATCGAACGAATTTATCTATTTTGGTTCAGTATAAATATTCTAATATCTCGTAGTCTACTATGTTATATTTAGGTTTTATTAAGAAAGCGTAAATATCTAAAAGTTAAATATAAGAACTCGGCACTCACAACTGTCATGGATCATAACTATCTGCTATATGCGTAATTGCGTAGCATGGGAGGAATAAATGACAACAATCACATTGTATTCAGAATAAAATCACTAACCAGATATTGATATTCGGGTCATGTGCCGACTAACATGGATCATTATAGATAGGTATTATTGTAGAACTAGAACCGTCACATGACTTCATCGCATTATCATAGACATACATCACTCAGTCATAAGTTCATATGCCACACCCAGCAAATAAATGCAGCAATACTAAAATTTGTCTGAAGACATTCGAAGAGCCTACAATGTGATTTACATAACAGATATGAGTGAAATCCTTTTGTTGTCTGGATACCTATTCTTATAAATGACTATTAAATTGCATAATATTACAGAGATGTATTGATAATGCTACACGATGTAGGCAGCTAGTATTTTTGATGATTTGATAGGTGTATAGAATTTAGAAGAATAAAATGTTGTGACAGACCTTTGAAAAAAAGTCTGGTACTTTTCAATTTGTGGACACATGGAGCAATAAACATCAATTGCTCCTTGTGTAATATGAAATTTATACAGATCATACAAATATTTACATTTTATTTATATTTAGTTGGGTAGTGTTAAATTTACATAGATACTATTCAATTCCATTTGAGAGATTAGTTGCATACAAACTAGTAGTAATATACTCTGTTCTATCTATTTTCACAATCCGTTTATCTAATTAGTATGTATTGTTCTATCGTATGTCTACTACTTTTTTGTATTGCAAGTTGTTTGCAAAGTTTGTAGGTATATAACTACACTTTATTTTTCCGTTAGTAGTAATGATATTAAAATAGTTTTTGGACAACCGTAACCCAAACCGTTCTGTTCACCCAGCAACAGTCGACTCTTTAATGCACGGAACATTATCAGGTGTCATTACTTATTGTAAATAAATAATGACACCTATATTGTTATTCTATATTTTACAAGAGTTTATGCTGTCGGTTTCGTACTAATTAATTATTAATTAAAAATGTTTTTTGAGTGTAAGGAATTTTTAAGATAACCTTGGATTCTTTGTAAGGAATAATGGCGTATTATTGCTTTATTGAAATCTGATACGTAAAAAGTCCACGTATTTACCTATAATATATTGTAGAAAGGATGGTATCACGAATATTCGTCGTGAACTTCACCTCCATTGTCAGCACAAAGTAAAGTTGGTGTGCATCCAGTGTGTGTATGTGGTGTTATTTACATTACTTCTTTACACAGTTTAAAGGTTAACTATACAATAATTTGAATATTCAGCATAGAAATATAGTTTTAAGAAACCCAGACAACGATTTCCAAGGACAGTAAAGTTTTCTAGTGACATCATAGGATAACGCAATATTTTGACAATGATGTTATGATGCAAGCTTGTCAATTTTAACCATCTTGTGATTTGATTTTTAGCTATTGTATGCGAACTTTCACCTGAACCCGCAAGGATTTTTTGCATTCTATTATCGTATTCAAATAAAATAATGGATAGCGATATAGTAGCTATAATTACTTTAACTGATTTTAGATGTCATAAAAGATATTACTGTAGGGATTATTTATGTTAATGAATGGTGTATTTCATTTATAAATTACAGACAATTATAATACTGAAATAATAAATTTTATTTTAGTCAATAGTACATTCAACCCATTTCATTGAATAACAATTAGATACTTAATTTATCCTGACATTGCTTTCATTCCCAAGAGATAACATTTACAATTCAATAAATTACAATAGTGATCCCATAAAGATTTCTACTGTGGAAGTTCAAGTATGAATTTCATAATTGTATTATGTAGGTATTATTGAATCTAAGGATTTAATAATTCTTTAAAAGACAGTAAGTTTTTTCGAGAAATGGATGTTGGAAAACAGAAACTCGCTTATTCATAAAAATCCTACAAATCCTTTTTAATTATGGGCGTGTTTTGAGACATTCACGTAAAAGAAGTAAGTCGCTTAAAAGAAAAATAAAACTTAGTTTAATAGCAGATATTGATTTAGAGATTGGACATTTGAAATTAACGATTGTGATTTAGGACGTATAAATATATAACAAAAGAGTTAAAAAATAAGTAGTGCCATTCAAATAATCATTTTAATGCCTTCATTAAATAGGCTACCTAGCCTATTTAATGAATGTATTTAATGAACGCATTGCGTTCACCACGACGTCAACAATTTAAATTGATTCTAAGAATTCCATTGGTGTGAGTCGTGTATAACTAGCAAAATGTATTTCATTTCATTATAATGTGAAACTAGATAATATAAATACTTATTGCTCATACAATCACAACATATTGTTTATAAAAAATGGATATATACCTGTACATGATTATGGCTTAATAAAATTTATTATTATTATAAATTTATTATTTATATAATCCGTGAATAAAGAAAATATGTCAAATTTTACAATAATCGTTCAGTAGCAGTTGTACAATATGTACAATATAGATTTAAATATATTATAGGTGTAATGTAGCATGTATAATGCAGATTAGCGTTTTAAATTTTAACAAAACTCAACAAAACTCAACAAACTAAAATCGCAACATGAAAATCTACACAATCAACACAATAACGAGATTCAGGTGCGGTTATGTTCCGGATAAAATCAGCTTGATGGCGCTTTATGAGAAATCGCTCCTATATCGTATCACGTAACACAAAACGATCTTTGAAGCGATCTAGATCTCCCTATCACTGCTTTGATATTAGTATCATTGTATCTTCTCTTTAATTCTGAATATTTGGCGGTTTAAATATTATAATATTTTTTTGTCTACTATACATGATTAATTGGAAGTATTAAAATAATACTGAAGGTTTTTTTATCAATGAGTAACAATTGTATGCATGAGTATCCGAAGGTAAGTAATATCCGAATTTATTTTCTACCCATACTTAAGATGTTTTGCTGTATCTGCATGACTACAGACATTCATGTATACATAGTCATGCTGACAGAGCAAAAATCACGAATTACTATACGCGTAGTACAAGTTACTACTACCTACGTAAACTTTAATATTACGAGGTTTGCTTGGTGTTCAAATTTAGAAATAATAAAATATCTATTGGAAAGATTTTTGAGAAGTGCATTCTACGAGACCGTGATGGAACAAATGAGAAAAATGTTAGCTTTGTTGATAAGTGACAAACCATTACATCGCGCCCCGCCAATATGACATTACGCTTAGAGGTAATGCATCTACTGTTTACTTATTTCACAGATTTTGCGTCACCGTGTATTGTGAAATTAGTAATGCAAGGAGGTGGTGTTGTGGTACCGAGTATATATATTTAAATTGTCAGGATGTATCTTCATCAGTTGACATACAGTATCTTCTAATTCAACTACTACCAAGACAATTAAAACAATGAAAACCATTGTAAGTGATTTATCGTATCTGTGATTACCTACGATTGCTCTGGATTACAGTTTACCTTGGCAGTGTTATCGTCGAGTTCAGTGACTTAAACCCATAAATCTCGTTTCAGTGTGTGTGGTTTAACAATAAATATGCAAATAAACCTAATCTGTATATGTATAAAACACCTAATAGACATTAGTGATCCAAATTAAACTCGCATTGATAATATTAGAATAATTGTGAGAATTTTAATTAATTGAATGTGAATTAATTTCAGGTATTAGTATCAGCTCTGGTAGCGGTAGCGTTCGCAGCTCCTCAAGGATCCCAGGCGCCAGCAGAACCTATTCCCATTTTACGACAGGACAGTCAAGTCAATGGTGATGGGTCGTATCAATATTCTTACGAAACGGGAAATGGAATTAGTGCAGATCAGAAAGGAGACTTGAAGAAGGTTGGTGACGTTGAAGCTTTAGAAGTGCAGGGTCAGTTCCAATATCCCGGAGACAATGGCAACATTCAGCTGTCTTACGTTGCTGACGAGAACGGCTTCCAACCCCAAGGCGCTCACCTACCCACTGCCCCCCCAGTACCAGAGCCCATACAGCGCGCTCTTGCCTACCTTGCAACTGCCCCCCCACAACCTGAGCAGCCAAAGCAGTAAATTAGTCAACTGAAAAAAGAGAAATACTCATAGTCATTTTGTGATGTATATTTTATACTTTTATACTTTATATTTATACTGTTTAATTAAAGTTTTGTGATAACTATTTTATATTTTATTCATACTTTTTATAAACATAGTTACTAATAATAACCAAACTGAATGCTTAACACAATAGTTTATAATGTCTCTGATTACTGTGGCCATCGATATCAATAACAATATATAAAATGTATAAGCAGCCTGCTTTTGACTATGTTCTGGCTCACTACATAATTAAAGTTAGAGGGTTGAGTTGACTGGCTAAGTTGTCAGCACTTTAGCCATTATGATAGGAAACGCCACGTGTTTTGTCTTCTCTGGTGGCTAAATTCGTAATGAATTATATTATGCTTCGTAACCTTCATAGTCTGTTTATATCTACAGGTGGTATACCATGAAGTTAGTAACGATTATTACGGAACTTTGTACACGAATATACTCGAATATTTCGGTCTAGAAAATATCTAATAGCTGTTAAAAAAGTTTTTTGGAAAACAAAGATTTTACAAGTATAAAATGTACTACGAAACGTGGAGAATATTTGACAATAATTAAATAGACATTAGATATCTTAATATCCTTTTGGAAATACATAGTGGATGTTTAAAATACGTTGAAAATATGAAAGTCTTCGTTCTGACACTTATTATGATCACTGCCTTATCATCATGATACTCTTGTACTGATCGTATGTCGTTAAATCTTAGAAACTTTTAAAACATTTCTAAATTTTAAAGGAAACCTAATTTATATAAATTGAAAAATCAATCGAGTACCTAAATTGAATTTCATTAATAGCCTAAATGAAAACGTCAGAAACATATTTCACAAATTAGTTTAGTATTGTAGTTTCCTATTGCTATTTGTCTTTCAACGTTATTCTATAGATTTTATAGTGCATAAATTTAAATATACATCTAATAATACAAATTTGTAGAATGACTTATTTAAAAATGGAAACTACGTGATCGTTTAAATGACATCATTTCACATCAATGTTGTGGTGTCGTATCTATTTAAAATATTATTAAAAGGACAATAAACTTTAGCCTACCGGTTTTTTCTTAATCATTGCCAATGTTTTTATTTTAGATATACATAATCCATGTAAGATTATTAAATACTGGCCATACCTTCGGACTTACTGATAGGATACATGCTACTAATTGATTGAGATAGGGGTACCTTAAACGGATTACATGCGACACCCTTGGTTTTAGATGTAATATTGGAATAATTGACAGCAGGTGATAAAATTAGCCCAGTACGAGAAATCGGCCCTGGTTTCTCTACACACGAGATGATCTAGAAATTGATCTAGGGCGATCCCCGCCACTGCTCCGATATTGTCCTCGATTTCAGAGCCGTGTGTAGGCCGTATTATGTACTTCTTTCCTTATGTTCTCTTTATGAATAATGACGGAGTGGTGCATCTGCCTATGTACATTGGTAGCAATGGTGTCACTAGTCCCGAGTACTCTATTACTCTCATCCTACTTAATATTATGTAGATATTTATCTACCAACGTTAAATGTGAATAATTTATGTTTAATACTTTTAAAAAGACAAATAAAACTGAGGATTAGAGTCATTATAATCTCACAATTACATATCGACGAGATCCTAGTGTTTCAGGCGTCCGTAGACTACGGTAACTGTTTACCCAGATATGTAATTGTGTAAACAGTTACCGTAGTCTACGGACGCCTGAAATACCAGGAGTGTCACGGAGTGTATACAAGGTTTTCACACAGACGACTACGTAAAAAGTTCACAGCCAGATGCTTATTTGCCAATATTGTAAAAAACTACACCCCGATAATACAGACAAGTAGTGAAATTACTGAATGCGAAGGTATGACATCTCAGGACTTTATTATGGCTCTATTATCACTTACCTTTCAGGCATTCCAAATACATACATCGTGGGTGTGTGTTTGTGTTAATATGGATAATTTCATCAAATAAATAACAGCAAAAATAGAATTAATGTTCTAATAATATTCATTTTATATCAATATGAATTATTAATTTATAATGCTCTCAAATAATAAAATTATTAATTATTTTAGTTAATTATTTGCAACGATGTGGACGACTCTGACCCGTCTAGGTCATCAGGTTTCTTTCATCATATCTGATTTTTTATTAAATACAGAATATACATAGAAAGCACCCAGATAACAAACAATCACATTCATGAATACAAATGTATGCATCATGCGAGGAATCCAGGTCTAACGTAACCGAAAAGTAAAGCGGCGTATTAAAATTCTAGATTAGTTAGACCCTTAATTACGAATACTATAAGATGTGAAAGCTGGGCTATCGCACGTGAACAACCTGAATCCTATGGTCGTGAGCTTGTAAGAACTGTACTCTTTTTTAAAGTATCAATTTTGTATAAAGCTTGCTTCTTTGATACCTGATTTTTTTACAGTGTCGTGATTAGTAGAAATTCCTGAAGATCTAATTTATGAGTTTCAAGCGTGTGGCTTGAAACTCATGAAGTTATTAGTTTATACTTAAAGGAGACAGACTGACCGAACTGACCGAAGGAGGTGATGTATCGGTATTGCAGGTTGCCGTCGTCAGTGCCGTGACCACAGAGACAATTTTTATTTATATTACTAGTACTTGTATTATCACAATGCCATATTGTGATAATACAAGTACTAGTAATATAAATAAAAATTGTTGCTTTATGTAAGAATATAAAAAAATAGCCAATAATAAAAGAATAATTAAGTGCCATATTCATATTGTTTAGTCTCTAATCAAACGAAAGTACCACATCGTTGCACTTTTGTGCAACTGATCACAAAATACTTATTCCCTTTGGTTTCGCAACAGTTTAATAGAGTTATGTTGTTATTGAAAAAGGTCAAATATTAAAAATATACCTATAAAATAAGTTATGGCAATTGTTTACTTATAACGTTTTGCCTTCATACAAAGCTCCAAAGTCAGGGTCCACTATACATGGTGTTAGCAAAATATCATGTAGTGACTAAAATACAAAAAAGGTATACCATGATTTCCGAAATCAATATAATTACCATCCCACATACCTTGTCATTAAATAAATGTATATAATTTCTGAATAAAATAGTAAAGACTGGAACTTTCTTAATTTCGTTAAGGTCAAACCGATTATTTTTTGTTTGAGAACACACTGTTTGTATAGTAGATGGCGGGTAATAAAAAGAATTCTTAGGTCATGTATCTAATTATAAATTCTTATAAGTTTATAGCCCTCAGTAGTTTTTACGTGTTACATGCATATTTATTTGTAAATAAATATTTTATGATATTGATTGACTGTCAGACGACCTTGTCTAACAAGTTTTGTCGCTAAAGTATTGTACTGTATTTTTTGGATAAGTCTTAAAAAATAATAAGCACATAACAATCTATAATTATAAATATTACAAATATTTGTCATCATTTAAAGTGACATTTAGATAAAGTTACATACATAAAAATAATAGTAACATTATAATTACAAGTAGTGAGTAAAAATAAAATTCTATGTTATACAAAAATAACTGAAGTTCATTATTTACGTATTTTATAGACAAGAAGCAAAGCCAAATTAATATCGGAGTCAGAGTCTTTTTTTTTGAAGATTAGAGAACAGAATTATTGATAGTTGTAAATAACTAATTTTATGCAAAAATAACTAGTTTCAATAATTTTTCTACGTCGTTTATTTAATAAATCATGGTGGCTATATATTGATAGACTTAATAAGATTCTCTTATCTCTAGTTAATATTAATGTAATAATTCAACTAAAAGTTCAGTGAAAAGTTCAGTCATACATATCTATTCGAAAATTTGTATTTCTGTACGAGGGTCTTAATTATATAGTGATAATAATCATAATAATGATATTTATTTTACTGCTCATAACGAATTTTACTATGTAATTAATTTATATTTAAACTTACAAGATATTCCTTGTAGGAGTCTTCAAGCTCTCACAAGGAATAAAGTTCAAAGTGGATAATGAACTAGGTCAAAATCTGTACTGCAGATCTCCAAAAGAATAGGCAATTGTTGATAAACGTTCAACGTTATAATTTGAATAGTTATACATATCCTGCATATTATAACGAGCACTAATTACAGTCAGTTGGATAAACAAAATACGTCTCTTTGCAGTCTATGAATGATACCCATTTGGAATTCGCACCGCATGTTTATGAAATCTAACGAGGTTAGCGTACCTACTTGGCTAAAGTAATAGGAATTGATAAAAGTTCAATGTAAAATATTTTTATTTGCACCCAGATCAGTTTTTTTTAATAATAACTACAATCAATAGTTATCTTTTCTTTATCAGTGTGTTCTTTTTAAAATGTTGTTAGGTATCTCTTTTAAACTATTATGATACATGTACATATCATATAAGCTCATATCTACAGTAGGCTTGGACATATTTTATCGAATTTATTCTGACGTGCCAAATGGTGCAATACCATCAGAGGTGGTAGGCGGCGTAGTGACCCGTCCATATATATACTGATATAGCACTGTTAGAAGAATATTGTTCAGTGCCTTCACCGACAAACAAACATAAACATGAAGACCGTTGTAAGTGTCAGTGATAGTGTCTACAGTTATTGAGTGTTGACATAGTTTGAAATTGTGTAGAGTGATTGAAGAATGTCTGGCAATATTACGAAAATAATAAAATTCACTGTGGAAAGTTTCTAACGGAATTATTGCAAATTGGATTTATATCTTTTTGTAATTTTCAGATATTCTTGGGTTTATTGGCTGTCGCTTGTGCTGCCCCACAAGGTCCTGCTAATGAGCCCATACCAATTGTCCGCCAGGAGAGCCAGATCAACCCTGATGGCTCATATCAGTATTCCTATGAAACTGGGAATGGTATTGTCGCCCAGGAGCAGGGCGAACTTAAAAATGTCGGAGCAGAAGAGCCTGCAATACAAGTCCAGGGACAATTTCAGTATCCCAGCGACGATGGAGGCAATATTCAATTAACTTACATTGCCAATGAAAACGGTTACCAGCCTCAAGGTGCCCATCTCCCAACACCTCCTCCTATTCCAGAAGCCATTCAACGAGCACTTGATTACCTAGCTACTGCCCCACCTCAGCCAGAAAATAGAAAATAAGCTAATAAAACCTGAACATATATCATACACAAGTTATTAATATATAATTACATCCACTCTCATTCATATTCACTATGTGAACTAGGATGATTTAAATTAACAACAATTTAATGTAATTATTATGTTGTTATTCTATGTGTGTTCTATGTTCTATGTGCTTTATAGTAACATTGAGGCATATATTTATTTTTAGTATTTTTTTATAATAATTTTGTAAATATTTTTTAAAAAAAGTGTAAAGTAATGTAATGTGAGATTTTTTATTTTTTCCTAAAATACCCGCATTTTTATTTTATATATTTTTTTATATTGAAGTCACGAATTAGGACGATTATTATTATAAAAGTATCTAATGAATTAATTCCTTTGTTAGTTATCTTAATTAATTATTTTTGGCGACTTTGCTGTTCCATTTCAGGCTGCGATAAAAAGTATTTATTGTTTATTTTATATTATGTAGTATATAATTATGAAATGAAAGCTCTAAATATTTTATATGTTATCTACTAATATTTTAAATGAAATGGAGAAGAATTACCTTTCCACGATATAGAAAGTTCAGTTTTTAAATAAAGAATTTTAATATTTAAAATAAAAATATAATAACAATTGAAACCAAATTAAGACTTTTTTGGGTAAGAGAATTAAATATTTTATGCTATCCAAGGTCACTATTCCATGCGGATGAAGTCACGGGCACAGCCAGGCAATAATAAATTTATTCATAATGCTTTGCCTAAGGCTCGATTATACATAAGCAGTATTGACTCCATCTAGAGGTTAACATTTTAGTTACGTATTAAAATCACTGCCTCTGACATTTTATTTGCATTATGAATATAATTATACATAATAGTTATAGGTAAGATATTTATTGATTATTCAATAGATGGCGTTAAAATAAATTAATTTCCACTATATGAATCCAGATAGATGACATAATTTATATTCACTGGGGAGCGTAAAAAAACTACCACTTGTTCAAAAGATATCATATTTCGTAAGCTCTAAAAATACTCTTTACTGCACACTTGTGAAACCACGGATGGCTGATATTAGAATTATATTATAGGAATACATTAAAAAAACAAACCACATTGTTTATTACTAAGATTGTAAAAGACGTGTGTTGGTACGGATACTAATAAAAAATAAAAAAGGTTATTTTATTACTTACTAACGATCCGTCCCAGCTTCGCACAGATGCATTACAAATCTTTAAATTTCTCAACTTGTTCTATATTATAACACTCGCGTATTATACACATAAACCTTCCTCTTGAATCACCATATCGATTGCTGAAAACTGCATTAAAATGCGCAATTTAAGCGAAGTGCGTAAACGAATAGACAGTGGCGACAACTTTCTTTTATACTATGTAAAGATAAATAATAAATATATTCTAATAAATGTATACATAATTATAAATAATAATGTTACTAAATGTCAAAGTGGAAATTAGAATAATGACATTTTTTAAAATTGTAATTTAAATAGTATAACTAGTACTCACATTTTTTAAGGGTGATAATGGAATTATGCTCCCGCCTGCGCTTACGATTTATTCTGGCAGGGCACCAGTGGAGGATGATAAAACGAGCATGAAGTCAGGTCTAACTAAGTTCCTAACATATTTCAATTTATTTGGAAAATTATGCAAGTTGAACGTTCATTCGTTATATATTATCTAGAAGACAAAGAGCCCATCTCTTTGTCACCATCTAATTAATTAAAGCAGTGGTTTTATCTTTTAGGGATAAGGGATCATTTGACAGTATTTCTGTCAGGATGTGGACCTCCAAATGTTTGTGGATTGCATACAGTATCTACAATAAAATATGTTGTATATAAAAACCACGCATAATGCTGGTAGAATTATATTTTTTTACGAAAGGATGCCTGTTTATCCTCTTTAAAGAAAATCTTGCAGACTCTTCAATAGTTCACCGTTAATTAGTTAACAAATTGATTTGTAAATGTATAGATATTATATATTGGAATTTTATAATATATATTTAAAAGTATTGCGTTATTTGTGACTACACAGAGTACATCGTTTGACCCCGGTGACCTCTTGTAGAGGTGGTAATAATAGCTGTTGACATTTAGATGAAACTAGTTTCGTAGATGCCTGCGGTTTTGTGTGTGATGTTTACGATTGGTACGTCGGTTATTATCGGCATGTTTTTCAGACATCGTGAAGGTCGAGGATATCTTAAAGTTTTTGAGCGTTAAAATTACAGGAAAATGGCTGGAAAGTATTATAATTAGTGTTGTCCAATCAGTATTATTATAATAGATTCGTATATATTGTCTCGGAAACCACCATAATGTATTGGGTTAGGATTTCGCTGATCCAGTACTATAGTGTCTTAACATTAACCTTAGTTTCTAGCGGTTGTGAGTTGGATCCTCGTACAACACAAATGGAATTAAGAAATATTTCGATTATAATATTCAAGAGGTTAACAAATCTTTCATGGGCTCATGATGAATTAGGCTCCTAAGGTTGCTTGCCTGACATTTTGTTTGTCAATTATATCATTTAATTAATTAAATTAAGATAAATAGCGGTAGGCTTTAGGCTCGTCCTCTGCGACGTTGAATTCAAACATACCGAGTGAAAGGTGAGCCAGTTAATGTCAAGTAATTGGACATTACGAGTATTGATGTACATCACGAGAGCAGAGAGCGTCGCTTATTATGTGTAATGTCATGGTGAATAAAAATTATAAATGCAGAAAAATAAAAAGTGATTGTTTGTAATAATATTTAACTGTTATATATTACTATGATGTTGGCAGTGACTAAGTACATACTAGCGTATATTAGGTTACCAAATATAGTTTTAAAGTATAAGTCGTTAGTATTGTAGAAGGTGGCTATGGTATATTTTATATTTACCATAATCCCGTCTTAATTCAAAACAATTACAATAAACAAATTCAAATTTAAATTAAAAAATCATTGATTCATGTAGGACATTTTAGCCGCTTATGAACGTCAAGTTTTTACATTATATTTTTTTTTCCCTACCGTCCAGTTCGGTATATAGATCCAATTGAGAAGAACTGGCAAGAAACTCAATTGAATTACTTTTTTTTTAAAAGCCAGTTTATTTACAATGCATAGGTATTTATATAGGTGTCTATATCTAACATTAAATGAAAATCCCGAATATGAAAACTATTGCCATGCACGCTCGTCATTCAAGTAATCGTTTAGTGAGTAATAGGCCTTGCTCAGTAAATATGATTTAACAGATGTTTTGAATTTATTTAAGGGTAATTCCAATATATCCTTTGGTATCTTATTGTAAATTTTTATACCTATTCCCATAAAAGACCTATTGACTTTTTCTAAACGATATTTGGGGATAGCAAGTTTGTCTTTATATCTAGTATTAATATTATGAATATTGCTGTTTTTTGGAAAGAAGTCAAGATTTTTATGAACATATAGGATATTTGAATATATAAATTGAGAAGCAACGATGAGAATATTTGCCTCTTTGAATTTCTCTCTTAATGAAACCCAACTCTAATTGTTCTATCAAGTAATTGTTATATCACTATGTGGAGGTTGGAGTCTGATGTATAGAGGAAAACTGCAACACCTCTTTTAGTTAACTTAACCCTATTACTTACTAGTTCTCTTAATACAGGGGTACTTCTGTCTCACTTATACTGCCAGCGTGGTGAGATAGAGGTATTCCCTTAAACTGTGCCGTAAACCAGTCGGCCGTAAACTATGTTTAACTGAGAGTGAGAAATGTCAGTGAAATTACAGAGTATGGATACCTCCGTACTCTGTAAATGTTGTACCCAACATATTAATCCTCCAGAATAGCAATAAGGCATGACGAGAATAAAAGCGAAGGGTTTTCTATGTAGGCGACGGTTGATGATGATCGCACGGTACAAATATTTGTATAATTGGTCTGGGTTTCTTTTATGTATTAACAAAAAATGTATCTAAGTGTGTCTATTCATTGTCTCGTGTTCATAACACAAGCTGCTGCTTAGCTTGGGAATAGACTGCTGTGTTATTTGTCAAGGGATATTAAAAAAAAAGCCAAACTGTTAGAAATATTATGGAAAAAAATGATTCTTTAAAAATCCTTTCTTTCTTTATAAGATGTTTTTTTTTAATATTATCGTTTCATGCACAAGGCAATTATTTCATTTATATAATATTCGAATCCCTTTGGGGAATACCAGGGTGATAGTTATGTTTGCTACGTTCTTCGGTTAGTGTATATAATGAATACATTAGATGTATGAGTATAGATTAATTGTTTAGTTTTCATGTTGTTATACAATTCCTTTCACTATCGGTATTAAAGATTCCATTAAAAAAATATAAGTAATAAAAATGACCATAGTTTTTATTTCAACAAAAACAAGATCAGACAGATCATCATAACAACAGCTTCATAACATTAATATGGAACCTAAAATTTTTATTACACCTGCTTAAATTCGATTTTAACTTCTTTAGCGTTTTTCTAACAATAACAAAGTTTGCTTTTTGAAACAAAGTAATTGCCTATCCTAAAATTCGATATTTTGTACTTTACATAATATTCCATACATCAGTCTAAGACATCCGTCATTAATGTATGTAGCTGATACCTACAGTAAGAATAAAATGCCACCGTTACTTTTTATCCTGTAAGAGGTTTTATCTGCCAGTTTTTCCTGTTATAGAAGGTACTCCCTAACATTGCACATTAGTATCAAGCTACTGATTACATAGTATGAATAAGCACTGGACTATTAGATAGATATCTATAATATATACCTCCATTGTTTTTGTAAATAAATATACTGATAATATATCAATACTAACATTAAGTTATCTGTGCTAATATTATAAATGCCAAAGTAACTCGACAGAATTTTGACGTGAAAACGAGACAGACAGACATGTCTGAAACTACTAAACTGATTTAAATGAAATTTGGCACACAGATAATCTAGACCTTGAAAAAGGACATAGGTTACTTTTTATTACGAAAAAAGGATATAAGGGGGTCGCGCTTTACGCGTACAGCTAGTATACTTACATATAATCGTACATAGAAATGTGCAAAGTTATGCGAATTGACAATTGTAATTTTGATGTATCATTCAGTAAAAGTGGTTACTTAACAGTGGTATATTATAATTTTCCCTCATATATTTAAGTAATTGACGTAATTAATAAAAAAAAAAATTGGAAGTGTTCTTTAAAATGTCATCAACCCCAATAAAAGAAGGAAGGAATACATGATTCCTTTTAATAGGAATCCAAGATTCGGTAATTATAAAACATTTGCTGTCTGTGGCACGAAGATTAAACATTAATTACTAATTATGGTACTATTTTTAAGAATTCCGGATGGGTACATGCAGGCACGAACAAAGAATTTTAACAAGTTGAAGTAAAATGAATAATTCAAGAAACTTATTAACGAATCTTGTAACGGATGCACATTGAACGGTGTTAACATTTTAATTGAAATGATCTTCAAATCACTATGTAGTTAATAAAGTAATAAATATGTGGCATTTTCCTTACTCATGATAGAGAAAGAATTTTATAAATAATTATTAGTGTCTAATAATAACAAAGACTTGTTCTCTGAATGTCAACTGTGTTTATATAAGCAGTATTATTGCAGTTTTTGTATAAATAATTATATTGTTAGATAAATACACTGTCGCATTTGGGACATGAACTAAAATGGAATTAACAAAAATTACGCGATAGATTAAGAATCTAAACAGAGAAAGAAAATATAGTATTGGAAGTAAATTAAATGTTGAAAATACATGATGACTGAAATAAACATCCTATTTCTATTCTACACCCTTCTCTATATAATTAGTAAAGAAATTTATTAACTTTTTTGCAACGTCTGTGGTATTATGCTTCTGATTCAAATCCTGCGGACTTGTCAATCCTGACGGTGGTCAGGCATGCCAGATGTCGTGGTGCCTAAGTGTCTTAGAGTCTTCATATCCAGAAGAAAAACTTTGCTAGTAAAATGTTAAAATAAAAAAAAATTATGACGACCGAATGTACGAGGCAGATTAATATAAATCCATATTATTATTATAAAAACGAAAATGTGTATCCCGTCTGAACGGATTTTAATTAAGTTGACATGAATTAGATAGATTTACATGATAAAGACAGACAAAGTTGCGGGCGTTGCCTAGTGTGATAACAAGGAACTTGAGAAAAAACCTGACAGTGAAACTGAGTATCTAAATATAATATATTTTATGCGAAATGTCTAGATTATGAAAATTCTTAAAAGGATGAATATAATGCCTCGTTGACCAATGAAACGTGATTAAATTTTGGCAAGGTCACTCTCATGTCAGAATCCTTTAAACAAAAACTTTTTTTTTATTTTTAAGTCTTATATAAAAAGGATAGACTAGATGTCTGTCACACTTGTCGGTATATACTACTCACGAGACACAACTTCACAACAATGAAGTTCTTTGTAAGTTTTCTGAGACCGACTTAAATATATTATTTAGTTGCATTATACAATCAAAACTACATAGGTATTATCATTTAAACGTATACAAATCTAGAAAGGATACATTTTCACAAAAAGCGTAAGGAGCGTAGGACATTGTTTCCTAACTCTATTTCAGATTTTAGCATTTATAATAATGTTATAGATTGTAAAAAAAATATATATTATTTTTATAGTTTTTTTATATAATTTTTTTATACAGGTCTTAACAACGTGCATTTGTATCGTGGCGGCTGCATACCCACCGATACAGCCTCCTAGAGTGACACATTCTCCAGTACCATCTCCTGTTAAAAGTTCCGGCAGCGATGTGGACGCACCAGTATTAAGATCCGACATTGATGTAAAACCTGATGGATATGATTATGCGTAAGTGTACTGCTTTTTTATCATTATATTATTAAGATGAGGAGTGTCATTGAGGATAATCTTCGTAATTACTGCAGCTAATTATATATCTTTCTACTATTTATACAATAAGTAAATCGTTTCGTTTCATTAAAATACATACGCTTTATGTAACATGTATATTCCCGGTGAAATCAGCGTAGACTTCTGCTGGATTTTACTCCAAAACTTCGATCATTCCTAAAATGATCAATTTTTAACTAGTTGTTATCAACAGAAAACATTATTCTTTGACAACTGGGCACGTTTTTCCTCATGAGATATCGATTTAGTTTATTAAGACCAGATGGCTTGGTACAATTTTAAGTATTTAAAGAGTTTATTTTGTTTTACTTATTTTTTTGACCGAGAATAATGATAAAAAAAAATCCATAGTTCATCCAGAATGGCAATCGATATTTCATCTTACATGAAAGGACTAGCAGATAAAAACGGTCCGGACCATATTTACTGTAAACGAAAAGATCTCTCTCTTACTGTTTGTTATACTAAGGGTAGAATTCCACTGGAATACCTGGGTATATTGCATATAAATAGATTGAATATAATTCGATTGCAGTATATCAAACCAGTGAAAGGACAATACAGAATCAAAACAAGTTTGTCATATCTGAACACTTAATACGACTATACCATGTACGCTATAGCATGGTGTGGGTGACAGTTTCATTAATGTTTCGATTCCCTCTTAAAAGTTGGCGCGATTTATGACTTAGTATTTAAGCTGTACCGACCACATTCGTAATATATTAATAACTGTATTCATTTAAATGTAGCAATTGTTAAATTTAAAATTAGTAATTGTTATGCTACAGCGCACACAGTATAGCATATATACATATTAGCGGTTAGATTTCATAAAATAAAAATATTATCTACGGAATTCCATTTTTCCCTAGAATTGTGAAAGGATTCATTTATCAAAATTTAAATAGGAAGGCGCCTTGAAGGTGTCTAACACATTGAATCCAGTAATAGCTATACTTAATAGTAATTGTAAGACTTGATCTGCTTCAAAAAGTCGAAGTGACATAGTGAGTGTGTTTTGTCGAAAGTGTTTCCAGTAATAGTGGTGACGATAATGAAAGCGGGTGGACATATTGCTCGTAATAATTCATTACATTCACCGCCATCTCCAGTTGACCCGAGACCAGATCGTTTGTAACAGTGTCGAGATATTGCGAGCTCTTATCATGTAAAATATATCGTTTGCATAACGTGTACAATTTTAAACAACCGTGAAAAAAGTTTGAAATTACTTCAATCGTAAATTGCAACCCACCGAACCATTGTTCCTATAGATAAATATTACGATATGTATTATTTTATTACTAAACTATTATTCCATTTTAGGTATGAAACGGGAAACGGTATTTCAGCTTCTGCTGTTGGAACTTTGAAGAATGTCGACAATATTGATGCTCTTGTAAGTACCTTTCGCATTTCATGTTAGTTCAGTTTAAGTTTAAGTTTTCCCCCTGGTGTTATAGCGGTTATCTTATTACTTTTGTATATTTAATACTATGTAATTTTAATTTTGCTAATGCTATATTATGCTCTTAATAATATTATAAACACGAAAGTTTGTAATGAAGAATGTTAACTAATTTTGAATAATAGCTCTCCATATTCTCTGTCAAAAATAAAAAATATTAGTGAAAGAATTACTTCAATACGTCAATTAGTTTCTGATTTATAGAAGTAAACGTACGATGCGGACTCGTGTGACGGTGTGACGTCATAGTACAACACTCGCTCTGTCCGCTCGCGCTCTCAGCACGGAGTCGTCTTACGTTTCATTAGAAATTATAAATACCTTCAAAAATAACCAAACCAAACACTAGAAAATCATGTGTTGTGCCGAAATGTACAAATACAACCACCAAAGTAATAGTTATTTTTATTATAGCCACAAAAAAATCCAACAAATTTGATAACAGTCGTTCAGTCCTCTCTTCGACGATGTAGCCACATTAAAATGCTATAGTACGTTTACAGCCTCTGTTGGCAGTACAATGTTCGCAAGTTACGTTTGAAACTTCTTGGTCCTTTTCATTACATTCTAAACTGCAACGATAACGTGTGGTACGTACGCGATGTACGCGCGTGATTCTACATTTGACTTGTATGTAACCGATAACATCATCACCAAAGCTGTCTCTTGCCGACCTGGAATAAGTTACAAATAAAAATAAATAAAACGGCCTATTAATAAGATAAATCAAAATTAAAAAAGGTTTAGGACATCTGTTCAACCCAATACATTTGCAATAAATCAATATATGTGTTTAGTTAAATTTACTAAAAGAGGTACCTATATTCACATATGTACGTATGTACCTATAAAACTCTAACACACATTTGTTGTCTATAATGTATATGTAAATACTTAAAAGGTTTGGTACTTCTGCCTATTTAAGTTGCAATACTTTATTGCAAGTATTGCAACTCAAATAGGCAGAAGTACCAAACCTTTTAAGTATTACATCAGTTGGGTATTTTTTTACCAAAACGCTTTAAAACAGATAAATTATTTTCTAAATAGCAAGAAAAGTTAACCTTTGCATTTTTATTCCTCGCATTTCGGCGGCAACGAAATCACTATTTGTTGATAAATAATGGGCAACCATTAGTGCATCTATTTTAGGCAGGTCATCCGATTGCCCTTTTTCAATTCCTTCGTCCATTTCATTAATAGAATATTAACGTAATGCGCGGATGAAAACAAATAAAATAGTCCACAAACTCAGCCACTGCCTACCGGCCAGCGAGCGACTCGCTACTAAGCGGAGCGGAGCGTTGTAAAATGACGTCACATGTCACGTGACTGTTAGCGGGACTCGAAATTTATCGTAAGTTTAAATGCCTATAAAATCAAAATTAATAGGTATTTTCGACTAAAATAAAAACTAATATTTTTGTATACATACAAGCTTTACTATACCAAAACTTTCAACCGATTTGGCATACCTATTAACATTGTTTGTTCCTCTTTCACGCAAAATTTAATGATTGATGACGGATTTTGATGAAATTTTACAGTAATGTAGTTTATACATCAGAATAATATATAGGCTATAATTTTCACGCGGGTGAAACCGCGAGCACAGCTATTTAAAAAAAAACAGACTTTTAATCATATATTACAAAATATATTTTCAAAATGCCGCTTTTATTCAGTCTTGTGTTGGTCCCATAGATACTAAAAGATAATTGCATGTAGAATATAATCTTCTGGTAATACATACGCGCTTCTATTAGGTACTATCCATATCCGATATATACTTAATGCTCATTATGTTTAGCATGCACCAGCTGTATAGCCTTTGGCAATAAGCAAAGGTCGGTTGTACTTAAAATATTTATGTTAGCTGTTATTAATACTATAAACACCTTCATAGAGTATGGAGTGACATACTAAATAGATGTAAATATAAATAGGTAAATAATCTTCTACACTTAATTGTTAATAACCCTATGTTCCTACATCATACAGCGCCATCCATAATATCCAAAGTAAGAACCTTGTAATACAATGTAAAACATACAGACTAATATCACAGATAAAATAATATTACATACCAATACAAATAGTATGACTAAGGAATACAAATATTTTTGTATTGTGTGCGAAATCAAGGTTGTGTATGTGTTGTGGAAGATGTTACCAGAGACGTCATAAAATGTTTTCAAAAAATCATCCCAACAAAATGAGTAATTTCCTACAATCTAATACAGCATGAAGTGTAGGAGATATCAGTACTGTAGGAACTTGATGAACTGTATGAATTTGATATTTTGAATAATAGGTTACTTAAATTTATGGCATGGCGAGACATAAAATCGAATAGAGAAACTTTACCTTTTTATGTCGTCTAAAATTAAAAAGCATTCCTGTAGCTTTCGATTCCGGTGGCTACACAGTTTAAAAGTGAACTATGTATACAGGCACACCGTACAAAATAAACATAGATATATACCCACGTGTATAAACAATAATAAACTGAAATGAATATCTATGAACGTTATTTTACAGGTTTCCCAAGGCTCATATCAGTATGTGGCTCCTGATGGCACACCAGTAAATGTACAGTACGTCGCTGATGAAAATGGATACCAACCTAATGTAAGTTTTAGTACCTATCCATAATTTTCTGCTTATCAATATTCTTCTAATGTTTTAATGATCATATGATCTATTGATTCCAAATTACAATTTCCTATAGAGACTTTTTTCATGGACACTACATTTAATACGAGTGTAATAAAAATAATTAAATGATAAAAATGGCGATAATAGTAGATGTATAAACCAGGACAAAATAATATGATCCTATTACTGTATTAGTTTTAATCGGAGCCGTTTCGTCCGTAGTGTAAGGACAAAATTTCAGGTTGATATAATGACTCTTGTATTATATATTGTAAGAAACAATTTTATTTCAAATTAAAAGTAGGTACTTTTTTATGTTACAAAGTATATAAGTTATTTCTTATTCTAGAGCGACATTCTGCCGACTCCACCGCCCATACCTCCTGCTATTGCACGTGCTTTGGAGTACCTGGCTGCTCATCCACCACTAGAAGAAAAATTACCAACAAAATATCATCTTTAATGCAAATATATAAAAAAATATTATCATGATTATTTAATTACGACGACGACATCGGCCAAAGACTATTATGATTCGAATTTGGGCAAACTTTATCTAATATTGTGTTATTTGTTAGTTACATATTTACCAGCATAATAGATTTAAACTTATTGTAAATAAACTAGAAATGAGTCTAGTTGAATGATTTCTTTTATCTCCTAATATTCCTTAGATAAACATACTAGTACAATATATTCATAAAAATGTTGTACCTTTTTGCTGTTCTACTGTTTTGACCTATTCTTTCTAGCTATTTTATAATTAAAAGAAAGTTACTAAAGTATGGATAGTACGGAAATGGTATTTTTAGAAATAAAGAGTTAAGTTGTTAAATTTTGTTTATAAAAACAGGTGCACCTATGTAATGTTCAGAAATCATTTCAATATATTGAAACCCAGTAATAGATACAACTCCATTATCGAGGATAATTATTATAACGTACTCAGTGTGATTCAGATTGCCATAGATAGGTTACTCTATGTTATGACTAATTCTATAGAATTGTAAGACTAAACAAAGTAGTGATCAAAAATATTTGCCTATATTAAAAACAAGGCGTTCACACTTCTTCTAAAAATGAGACTGCATAGTTCAGAATCATTACCAGTATATTGATTATTTTTCATGGTATTGTAAGTATATACACTATAAGTATAAGAAGTAAATAATATTAATGTATAATCTATGCAAAAACGTTAAATTCAGTCTCCTATACATTGACCAGATAGGAGACGTATCGCTATGTGGTACCTGAAATGTTTTAAATAGTGCAAGTTTTACATAACAATAAAACTTGTATTATTGAGCAGAGACGATGCACAGCATCTGTGAGAGTGCGCCCGTAGTACTTCCCTTCTAATCTACCAATAGTAAGAACTTCCGGTTTTGTTTAGCGACTTCCGGTTCCGTTTAAGAACTTCCGTTTCCGTTTAGCGACTTCCGGTACTAATTATTTGCTGTCTTAGGAGGTGTGTCGACCAACGACCACCAAGCCTCATAGCAGTCTCTCACCAGGAGACCTAAATTGGATGCTGTATCGTCTCTGCTCAATAATACAAGTTTTATTGTTATGTAAAACTTGCACTATTATCGGCATGTGACGATGCACAGCATCTGTGAGAGACGTGTTTATAACTCCTGGTGACAGCAAATGACGCTATGTGATAACGTAATAACATATGCTATAGTATAATCAAGATAAATTATAAGTCTGACATATAATCCGATATGTTCCAATATTTATATAAATAACATCATAATAATAGAACAAAATTTAACTATTACATACTTATAAAATGCCAACTTAACACTATATATTCTATAATATTAATAATAATATACACCAGTAATCATCATAACAATCATACTTTAGACTGGTTGAAAATTACTTGAAAGATTTGCGCATGATTGAGGCCTACCAATAATTTCTTTACGGTAGTATTTTGCAAAAGTATTTTCACTACGCCAGTTACCACGGCTAAGAATATTTTCTACGGGGAGATTTTCATACCAATTTAGAGAGGCGACAGCTGAACGCACACTGCCCGGAGAGGCGCATATACCTGCATCTTTGAATATTGTTTTAACCCAGTTACCTATAACCGTTCGCGAAGCTGATCCCATAGAGCCTCTAATTTTGATAAATAGAGAATTATTGCATTCTATTGTACGTCTCTCTGAACCTAGTTCGATAACCTTCCTAAGCCAAAATATAGGACACACATTGGGGTTATTATGTTTTGATAAACGCCAACCAGACTGTTTGTATGAAGCAGTATCTGTTTTGGATCCAAATGATGGGTACAAGGTTATGTTATCGATATCGTCAGTAAAGTGGTCAGGGGATACTTTTAACAAGGTTAAGTCATGGACACGCCGTCCCGAGGCTAGCAGTAATATACAAGCTAATCTACGTGAGGCTTCAAATAGCGTTACATTTGTTGGCGGGTTATCCTGTAACCAGCAAACCAGATCGCTAGGATCCCAAATGGGGGGTTTTTCTGTTCTTGGGTTTTGAAGAGAGATAGCCTTTAGCATATGTTTAACTAAAAAATTAGAATTTAAATTTTCGTTGTTTAATGTTCTTCCAAATGTTAATACTACAGATTTATGCAACAAAATAGTTTGATATGCTAATCTCTCCTCAAGCCACAAATAAGCTAAAAACCTAGTTAGATTTACTGCATCGGGATGTTTAAAGTTTATATTATTATTCTCACAAAACCTAACCCATCTATTCCAAGCTGGTTTGTAAGTTTTTAATGTTGAATCTCTCCAACTAGATCTCAATAGGCTTAGTTCTTCGGCTGACCAGTTACTTGTTATGTCGCCCCACCCCCAATTCTCCAAACATACAATTTCATGTCTTGTACTCTCGGTGGAGGGAGGCCGGTGCTCTGATCTATAAGCACTTGAGATAAGTTGGTGATTTTCATGGGTCTGCTCAATGCTCGTCGACGAAGATCCGGCAGCCAAAACGCTTTCGTCCACATTGGGGCTACGACAAGAAATACTCCTTGGGAGGTATTTAAATGATTTAGTACCCGTGGTATCAGGTTCGGTGGTGGGAAGACCCACGCCAACTGATAGTTCCATGGGCGCCTGAAAGCGTTGTGGAATAATGCAGAGTGGTCCCGACAATCTTTTGTGACATATCTGTCTACAACTCGAGATTGTTTGGTGGCAAACAGGTCGATGTACGGCACTCCGAACTGACGAAAAACTTTTTCCAAAGCTGGCTGTTGAAGATGCCATTCGGCTGGTTGTTTCCCTCGCGACAGCCTGTCCGCAACATCGTTGAACTTGCCTGGAAGATACTCCGCTGTCAAGGTCATTTCCCCTTTGTCTACAATACTCAGGAGTTGGTATGTCAAGTTGAGCAATGCTGTCGATCGTGTGCCGCCTTCTTTTCGTATGTATGAGACGACTGTACGGTTGTCGGATTGTAAAATCAGGTGACTTCCGTGTAGTTGGAATCTGAAATGTTTTACTGCTGCTATAATCGCGAACATTTCTTTGCAATTGCAGTGCCAAATCCTTTGATTGGAAGTCCACCTGCCTGACACCATTAGATCGTCCATTTGTGCTCCCCAACCGTAATCCGCAGCATCTGTGGTCAAGAAGTGTTGTACTGCCCTTGGATGTAGATCGCTGGATACCTTGCAGTCTGTTAACGTCTTTATCCACCATGTTAGCTCTTCTTGTACTAGTGCTGGGATGATCAATTGGGTCGGAGCAGATATTTTCGACAAACTCCGTGCATATAGCTGAAGCTGTCTGGAGTGCAGTCTGCCCCTGGTTATGACAAAATTTGCAAAGTTTAGGGTACCCATTATCACTTGTGCTTCCTTCAGTGTCATTGCTCCTTTGCGCATTATTTTTGTCGCGATTATCCTCGCAGCTTTTTTCTCCGGTAAGCATTTCAGGTTGATGTTCGTATCCCACCGTAGTCCCAGATACACTTGTGTAGGTATCGTTACTGATTTTTCGTAGTTTATCGTCCACCCCAGCTGTTCTAGAATTTTTATAGCAGCTCTCACCTGATCTTTGAGTAACAGCCGTGACTGACTTACTATAAGAAAATCGTCTAAGTAGACAATTACACGCATGCCTTGGTTCCGAAGATACTGTGCGATCCAGTTGGTTAACGCCGCAAAATTTTTCGGGGCGCATGAAAGGCCAAAGGGTAGACAGGTCATTTGGAGTATCTGTTGACCGTAAATTAATCTGAGAAATTTTCGGTGGGTCTTGGCAATGGGCAGATGAAAGTAGGCTGATGAAAGGTCCAGCTTTACCATCCAATCGTTTTTCTGCAGGAACTGTGGGTGGTATTAGAAATTGTGAAATCAATTTGAAAGGCTTTGGTAGTATGTACTGGTTCAAGCGCTTTAGGTTGAAAATAGGTCTGTGAGTCCCATCGTTCTTCCTTGTCAAGAACATTGTTGAGAAGAAACTGGGGCCCAGATCCTGTTGGTCTGGAATTTCCAGGACACCTTGTTGCAACAGGATCTTTATCTGATCCGACATATTTGGAGACTGGGTTGTTCTGAAGCGATTTAGGGTTTTCGCCAATGGATGGACAAGTAGTGGTTTGGAGGTAAATGGTAGACGCATTCCCGAGATCATTCCGAGAAGGGCCTCCGGAGCCCGAAGCGCCTGCCACTGCCTCCGATACGCTCGAAGACAGCCTCCGTAAAACCTGGGTTGTATGAGTTGCGAGTCATTTATCGAATTTCTTTTTGCCGGGAAGGCTGTCCTTTCGATGATAGACTTTCTTCGATCTTTTCTGCTCTGGACGATAGGTAAAGTTTTTGTTCTTCCTTGAATTTGATGCGTGCTCTTGATTACGAAAGGGCTGACTGGCCTCACGTGACGGACCAGGTTTACTATGCTTATAACAAGGTTTAGTATTTGGTTTAAGGAGCTCTTTTCCCGAGTCAAACCATGGTCGAACCCATTTATCCATCCCACCTGTGTTTGCAATGTAAGCATGCAGGTGAGTTTCATTAAAAAGGTACCCAGAACTTGGAGGTATCTTACGGAGACCCTCACGTAAGTTCTTGTTTGGCAGCTCACCCAGGATACGCTCCCGGCGAGTTTCGATACATTCTGCCCGCTTACCGCAAACTATTTGCATAATTTCTTCGCTTACTTTATGAAATTTAGAATTAGGTTGAAATAATTCTGAAATTTTATCAAAAATATTTCCAGCAGACAGAGTTGTATGAGGGCTGCCGCCCAGTCAACCAGTTGTTGCAGGCTTTGATTCAATAGATCACGCTGTGTCAACAATCCATTACAAATAGCAGCTACAATTTTTTCGGATTTAGCTGAATAGTCTTTGCCTTTTTGGAATTGTCTCAGTTCATCATTTATATCCAACTCAACAAAACCAGGGGTGGCACAATGTATTTTCAAGGCGTCAGTATATCGAACCTCTTTCCAAGATGGATCACCGAATTTTTGCAGCAATTCTAACCGCTTTAAATGCTCGGGGTCCGCCCGGGGTACTTTAGGGTCTTTAGAGGTTGTATTAACTTGGCCAAGATTTAAAAACCGCGTTTCATTTGGTACAGCAGCCGTTGGGCGCCGTAAAGAAAAATCGGAGGACACCAT